GGTCCTGATATTGGCCGGGCGCGCCCACATTTGAGTGAGGGATGTTGGGGTTGTAGTAGTTCTGGCCGTTTCCGTAGTGCGACATGGCGACAGGAAGGCGCGAAGATGGCTAGGAAGGCGCGATGGGTGTGGGTGCGGTGGGAAGCGTCATTCACGAGGCTATCTGACCAAGTTGCGCGGGCACCATGACCAGGGCCGCTGAGCTGAGCTTAGGAGTCCAGCAACCTAGCGAGCGCAGAGATGGGAGGGACGGAAGGCGGCTGGGCGACTCGTACAATGTCGCGCGCTCGCATGCGCCAGCGATGATATCTATCCCAGTGGTCAGGAATGAGGGACGGGTAGCAGCCCTGCCTGTGCGTAGGTGGCAGCTGTCGAGCGAATCGTTAAGCGTGTTTTGCGTGGCTGTAGCGGCGTGGGCGGGCCGCTGGGTGACGCTGCTATGGAACTGCAAGATTCGACGAGAGATGCAGTAATCCGCAATGGCGATGCAGGAATTAGGGTGGTGGGAAGACGGCTATGGCTTGTTTGCGGCGTTGCTGTCATTACAGTCTAACAATCAGCCAAGAACGACCGGGAGCGGAGCCCTACCGTGTGCCTGATCACCCATCACATACCATTGTTCCGCACACTGCACCCTTTATTGCCCCCGTATTCGCGAACTTGTAGTAAAACACGACTAACATCAGTCATTGTGTGCTTGCAGCCAACTACATTGTCGCATGCGCACAGCGGTGGCGCTGTTTCTTTGGGCGTGCAGCCATCTTCAAAGAGCCCCATGGCCGTGTCACCGGAGCGCACCATACTCCAAGATGTCACATACCAGCCATTCTAACCGCAAACTTGGATAGGCTTTCACATGTTGAAACTCATACGGAGCTTGTGTAAGGTATTGTGTGCTTGATCTTACCCCGCAGTGCTGCTGGCGATGTTGTCACCATCTCCGCTCTCACGCTGCTATTTCCGAGGTCTGGCTATGGTGCAGCTATATGACATGGCGCTCTTACTGTTTGACTCGGGTTATTCTTGAATGCGCTGCTAACAAGCTCAATTGTCACAAGTTATAAAGCTAATAACAAATCAGAATGGGCATACAGTCAGACCCGCCGGGTTCACTTTACGCAGCTGCTGGTACTGCGGCTGACGACAACGTAAAGGTCCGCGACCAGCTGCCACCAGAGACTGACCAACATGGCTACCGAATCAACGAGCAGCCCATGGGAACCAAGAGAAAGGTCAAGGTCATTCTCATGGGTGCCGGTGCATCGACGCTGAACTTTCTCAAAAAGGCTGAAGAAGAGATGGAGAACCTGGAAATAGTGTGCTACGAGAAGAACCACGATGTTGGCGGCACTTGGTTGGAAAATCGATACCCTGGCTGCGCCTGCGACATCCCTTCGGTCAATTATCAGTTCTCTTGGAAAATCAAACTTTGGTCGCATTACTACTCGTATTCGCCGGAGATTTGGGAGTACTTGAAATCCATCGAACGCGAAAATGACTTCATCGCCAAGTACATTAGGCTGCGACACCAATTAGAGCATGTTGAGTGGGACGATGCGGCTAGTCTATGGCGATTTCGCGTCCGTGATCTGGAGAAGGACGTCGTGTTTGAAGACAGTGCCGAGTTCTTTGTCAACGCCGGAGGTGTCTTGAACAAGTGGAAGTGGCCAGAGATCTCAGGTCTGCAAGACTTCAAGGGCAAGTTAATGCATTCTGCGAATTACGAAGAAGGCTACGATCTTTCCAACAAACGTGTAGCCGTCATCGGAGCTGGTAGCTCAGGTGTACAGATTGTTGCGTCCATACAACAGAAAGTCCAGCATCTGTATCACTGGATACGAAGTCCGATATGGATCACCGCGGGCTTCGCACAGACCTGGGCTGGAAAGAACGGCGCAAACTTCCGATGTACGTGCTACTTCCTAAACAATGATCAAAATGACTGACGTCTTGCAGATAGCGAGGAACAGCTCAAATACCTCGAAGAAAATCCCCGGAAATACCTGGAGTACCGCAAACAGATCGAAAACGAACTCAACCAGCGCTTCAAGTTCATCATCAAAGGTAGCGAAGAAGCTCGTCTTGCACGCGAGTACGCAGACACTGAGATGCGCAACAAACTCAACCATGACTCTCGTCTCATCGAGAAGATGATACCCAAGAACTTCAATCCCGGATGCCGCCGTCCAACGCCAGCACCAGGTTATCTCGAAGCTCTCGTTGCACCCAATACCACTGTCTTTACCGACCCCATTGGCTCCATAACAGCCACAGGTTTCACAGACAAAGAAGGCAACCACCACCAAGTGGACGTGATAATCTGCGCAACCGGCTTCGACACCTCCTGGCTGCCGCGTTTCCCCTTCAAAGCCCATGGGCGTGATCTGCGCGACGTATGGGGTTCAGAGAAAGGCGTGACATCCTATCTCAGCGTTGGCATTCCCAACTTCCCGAACACGTTCTCTTTTTGTGGTCCGTACGGTCCTCTAGGTCACGGCTCTTTCATGCCGTTGATCGAGGTATGGACCCGCTACATCTTCTCCGCCATCACAAAATGCCAAGTTGAGAACATCAAGTCTCTTACGCCCAAACTTGCTCCTTGTATGCAATTTCGCCAACACGCCGATCTCTTTCTGCAGCGCACGGCGTGGACTTCGCCTTGCCGCTCTTGGTTCAAGCAAGGAAAGACGGATGGTCAAGCAACCATGTGGCCGGGCTCGCGCCTCCACTTTCTCAAGATCATGGAATCGCCACGTTATGAAGACTTTGAGATTGAGTACAGGGAAGGAAATATGTGGGCGTTTCTGGGAAATGGGTTTGAGGTAAGAGAGTTTGATGGGAGGGATATTACGAACTATCTAGGTAATCTGGACGAGGAAGGAAGAGATGTACAGCCTGTGTATGATGAGGGGCTGAAAGACGTACTTGGAGGATTTACGTTGGGGGAGGAGTACATTGTCAAGGGTGGGTAGTGAGTTTCATGAGTAAACATCGAGGCCTGATCTATGCCGCTGCGCTTGCTCTCTGTCCATCTCTCTATGGGCAACGCTCCACCTTTCAGAGTTCAAACGTGTCGCGTAGATAACGAAATGGACGCGTAAAGGTAATAAGCGCCTTCGCTGATCATACTCCAAAGTATTGACCCTTGCATAGACTCATCATCCCACCATGCACAAGACTGCGTGAAAGACTAGTTCTCAGAGGGGCAAAACACAGGCAATGGCTTGTTTCCACCTCCGCTTTCGCTTTCAACAAACGGATGCCCGGCACTTTGCGCGCACGACTCGAGTGATTTCGGCATCGCCTACGCTCCAGCCATGCTCCATGGGCACCCCAGACGCATTGACGATATCACAACAACCGCGAGACGAAGCACAAAGCGGCACCCACTAGTCAGCTACCTGCGGCGACATATTCCTCTACCAGCGTACCTCAGTGCATGGTTCCCGTCACTACACCCCATCTTCGTTAGCAGAACGGCTAAAACCGACACTTTCGTGATCCAGGCGTGGCGCCCAGAAGTGTTCACGTGAGACACCTCCGACGCCTAGCCTTTGATCTCCCGACAAACCTCCCGCCAGCACATCGCGTGACCAATTACACGGTACTTGCGGAGTGGCGCTGACATTAGACACGTCATTTTGAAGCTTACATGCGCGTGCTGCAGCAGAAAGAGCATGCGGAGAAGCACGCTAGAAGCGCACTAGAAGCTCTCGTTGAGATGTCGACCCCAGCTTCCAACCCAGTGGTGCAGGCACCCTTGCAGGTTGGGTACGGTGCCCGCGGAGAGAAAGATAATGAACCTGGTTCAGATGCGGCAGAGTTGCTAGCAGAAGATGGAGATATCGAGGCAGATGGCTGCGAAAGAGATGATCCTTTGGATCGCAGGCGTCATACTGGATGACCATATAGAGCGAAGGTCGTGGCTGTCGCGTATAGCGGATGCGTATCGCAAATGGAAGATCTACGCCTTCTGACGAAGAGATGAAGACCTCCATCCACACTGATTGAGCACATCGCAAGCCACTGTTGATACTCTCAGCTCGATGTGAAGACCTTTTCACCTGCAAAGCCACCAAGCAAATAGGCATAGCTGCCACATACTAAGCCAATATCACAAATGTTGAGCGCTTTTCCAAATGCTTCAGTCGAATATCGCGATATCGCAGCGCAGCCATAGGACAGCACGACATGCAGCATCGCGGCAAACAGGTCACAGACCCCAAGCTTCAGGCCATGCGAGACCACCCTGGCCAGCGGTCGGAGCCTCAACAAGGCCTCATGTCATTGTGCCTAAAACATGCCAAGGGGGCCCAGAGGCTACTGGCTGCGCGTCCAAGAGACGGTGCGCACCAACGCTAGACAAGATCACGAATTCCCCAAAGAAGGCTTGGTGGCGCCCAGAATCTTTCCTGGATCGCTTGTCGTTCACTCGCTGGCCCTACAAGCCTCGCTTGCCGTTGCTTGTAAAAAACGCCTTCTAGAGGTTCTGCACCGAAGGACCCTGACGACATCGCACCAGAGCAGATCGCTGAGATCAACAGCGGGGTGCAGATGATGCGCCCCTCTAGAAGGCGCTGGAGCAGCTCGCTAAGCCAGCATTTTGCGGGTTGAGGACTCCACTGTTGTGTGCATTCCAGTTTTTTTCAGCGCTACAGTCTCTCCATGGGGTTGGCAACGCGGAGATGCTATTGAGCCCCATCTGCGAGGCATTTGTCTCATGAGGCTCAACGACTAAGTGGGACCGTTCGGAGAAGAACGTCCATGCGTTGCTGTTAGTGCGTGCTCATGCACGAGGTGATTGGACACAAACATGCACCATCCGATGTTTGCCGGCTATACTCTCGGGGAGAATATGCAGGCTACTGAGTCGCCGAGGAAGAGCCAGCCCATCACGGCAGCGCTCCGATGAAAATTTGCGGATACTGGGGTGTAGCGTACGGGGCGATGCGTTAGCAGTAGAATCTACCCCAACACCCCGGCTTATGCGCCGCGCTCAACCAACGCCAGCATGGGACTACCGAATGGGCTACCGACTGCTATTGCAGTCTGGATGGCACCAGCCCCATGTCGCGACCTATACCATGGAGATGGGTATCTGGAGACGCGAGACGTGGAGAGCGGATATATAGTGTGCCCAGTATCCCTCCACTGAAACAGCATCAGCATCTCGCTCTTCGTCTCTCACTATCTGGGATTTGCCTCTACAGACATATAATCTGTTGATCCTTGGGCTCTATCTACCTTCGTTCCCAATCTTCATCTTTACCCTACCATCACCATGGGTTTCTTTGGAAACAACGGCTCGCAAGAGCCTACTCTGGACCAAGTCCACGAGCAGCAAGCTCGCCGCCCTTCCGTCGCTGAAGTCGTCGACGAGCAGGTTCGCCGCAAGTCTGTCGACAACCGTGTCGTCACTGGAGCTTCTGCTCTTACGGTCCGCCAATCCATCGTTCCCGTCACTTTGGTCACGATCCTCTTCTTCATGTGGGGATTCGCCTACGGTCTTCTCGATGTCCTCAACTCTCGCTTCCAGGTCGCTCTTGACATCACTCGTGGAGAGTCGTCTGGTCTCCAGGCTGCCTACTTCGGTGCTTACTTCATCGGTCCTTTGACATACTCGGGATGGTTCCTCCGCAAGTTCGGTTACCGTTACACCTTCATTCTCGGTCTCTCCATCTACTGCGTCGGTGCTCTCATGTTCTGGCCTGCGGCTGTCAAGCGAAGCTTCGGTGGCTTCTGCGGTGCCATGTTCCTCGCTGGTTCTGGTCTGTCTACTCTCGAGACTTCTGCCAACCCTTACATCGCTGTTTGCGGTCCTCCCAAGTACTCCGAGTTCCGTCTTGAGTTGTCTCAGTCCGTTCAGGCTGTTGGCTCCGTCGTTGCTCCCGTCCTCGCTGCTCAGGTCATCTTCAAGAACGTTGGTACCGACGGAAAGTCTCTCGAGGCTGTCCAATGGGTCTACCTTGGTATTGCTGGCTTTGTCGGTATCCTCGCCGTTGTCTTCTACTTCGCACCTATTCCTGAGATTACCGACTCCGACATGGCCGACCAAGCCGAGATGACCACTGCTGCTACCGGCTACGTCGACAAGCCTCTCCGTAAGCAGTACACTCTCTTCTGGGGTACCGCCGCTCAGTTCTCTTACGTCGCTGGTCAAGTTGGTGTTGCTGGTAAGTTTTATCATCTTTCCGAAAATTCTCCGAACATCCTCAAAATACCCCCTATCCATCCCACAACCTCACCACACTCTATATCTACTCCAATAGACCTATTCTAACATAGAAATTAGCCTACTTCATTAACTACTTCGCGGAAGCACGCCCTGATCTATCAGTTACCGAAGGTCACCACGAGGGAGCCAACTTCTACGCCATCGCCCAAGCCCTTTTCGCCATCGGACGTTTCGCAGCCGCCGGACTCATGTACTACGGCGGCAAGCCCCGTTACGTCCTCCTTGCCTTCCAGACCTTGATCATGATCTTCATCAGCGCTGCGATCGGCACCAACACTGGCAGCGCCACCCGTCCCAACTGGGGAGGTCTCAGCATGCTGATGATCGTTCTGTTCTTCGAGTCCTGCATCTTCCCCATCATCTTCGCCCTTACACTCCGCGGTCTCGGACGCCACACCAAGCGCGGTGCTTCTTTCCTCGTTTCCTCCGTCTGCGGTGGTGCCGTTGGCCCCGTCATTCTCGGCAATGTTGCTGACCGCATCGGTACCCGGAAGGCTATGTGCATCCCGCTCATCTTCTTCGCGATTGCCTGGTCTTACCCCATCTACCTCAACATGGTCAAGGGCGCCGAGCTCGATGCTTACAGCGAGAGCCATGTTGGTACCACTGATGGTGCTATTGACAACGACTCTGTGCTTGCTGGCAAGGACGTTGAGGCCCGCATGTTTGAGACCAAGGTCTAAATGTGTGTGCTTTGATACTATTGGGTGGGGTTACTTTTGGATTAGATGATACCTATGAGGCTTGAACGATGATAGCGCGGCGTTTATGATGGGATGATCGGACTTCGCTTGGTCGGGCGGAGTCTTGTATATACCACGACTTCTTTGTGCATATATAGACTTGCATATCTGTTTATAAGAATCACTAAACTTTACCACTTTACCACTTATCTTCTGCTCGTCATATGCCATACGCGAGACCTCAATTGCCTACACCGAAAGTTGAGAGTTTGACAGGTGCATCTTATCTTCTTGTAAAGAATATGCTGATTTCTTTCAACGTCCTCACTATTCATTCGAAGTAGCGCGATGTATACTTAATTCTATTCAGACAGCCACAAGCTAAAGTAAACATATGCCTGCCTCCTACATGACAGTCATGAGCCTCACGCATCCGGTCCTTCCTCATCCCTTCCGACAATCACTTCAAAATTCGCGTCATCTACCAACTCCCAAAACTCCGCATTGCTTCGTCTACCCTTCAACTCCTCAAGACACAACCCCGTGACCGTAGGCCCCATTAGGATCTTCACACACTGCAACCACGGCCAATGGTTCATGGCTTTCTGTGCGTCAAAGAGATCTTGCAGCCACCTGCTTTCCAAGAATGCCAGGTCAACATCAAAAACTTTGAGGTGTTGCAAGGAGATCGGAAGAGCTTGCGTCGGTGAAAGTTCGAAATCGCCTTCAAAGACGGCGTCAAAGCGCATGTTGTCAAGCTTGATTGATATGAGTGCTGCTTGAGGAATGACCAGTTTCTTAAGTTGCGCAAATTGGTCGAATCGCGGCAGTGGTTTGCGCATCGCACCTGGTAGTGTCCAGAAGCCGCCTGGTAGCTGTAAGGTTTGCAGATTTGGCCGCAAGTGTACCATGCCGTCCACAAGATTCTGGTAGTCGGTGACTTCGCTTCGCGCATCGTATATCGTCCGATCCCAGTGCTGTTCTTCCGCGTAAACATTGTCTTCAAAGGCAGATGATGTAGTCGGGTAGTATTGGATGTTTGCCTGATAAGCAGGAAAGGCACGGACACTTGAATAAGGATTCTTGCTATCCGATGATTCCGCATAGTATTCTAGTGTTTGAAGATTGGGAAAAGCGCGGAGAACGTTTGTCATACATGCTCTCGAGGTGGTATTCCATACGCCGACGGTTCTGACCTCGAAGTCTAGACGTAGATGTCGGATGGTTGGCTGTGCGCGTCGGCTGCTGAGGTAGCGCTCGGATTCCCTGCGGATTTGCGAGTGTATCTGGCCTTGGAGTCTGATGCTCAAATCGAGGGTGTGCAGGTTGGGATAGTGCCCCAAGTCTCCCAATAACGGCGGTAAGGGGCTTTCGTACTTCACATAGGATAGCACATGTGCGGTCGGTAGCCTTAGAGAAAATCTTTCCCTGCCGCTAAAGCGGTGCGGCTCTTGAAAATCCGTCTCAACAAGATTGAGATTTGACTCTGGGTCGAATATGCATAAGGTCGCAATATTTGGTAGCAGGGCTAAGAGCACGGAAGCTGAAGCATGTGCGAATGTTTCTTTAAGGTTCGCAGTTTTCTGTGTCTTCCACCAAGCAGGTAGGTCGAGGGAAGCGACAATCTCACATGCCTTCTCGTACACGAGATAGTTTACGTGAGGCTCTACTGGACCCGGACCACTAAAACTCATGATACCGCGATCTTCCGATGGTAAGCATAATCTCAGCTGCTTTATATGTCGTTTCCATTCCGGTCGTGCTTGTAATCTCCAGATCAGGCCGTAGATGTCCGAGTTGGAAAGCGCTTTCAATGTTTCTGGGAAGCTGACCTCAAGCACGAGCGAAGAAAGCAGGACTTCGCGAGCCAGAACCGTGAACCTCTTACACGTCAACGCAATGTTAAGCAGCGAGCGAGAATTAGCCCGAAAATCGGAAATGAGATAATCGTCTGGAGAGCTTGGAGGGGGATCATCTGGAATGTAGCCCAATACACGAATGGATCGGTGCAAATCGACATGCGAAAAGACATCGAGTAGTATTTCGTTGGGAAGAGTAGTCAGCGAGCTCGTGCTGTCGCCTGGGAAGTATTAGATGATGACGTATGCAAGATGAATCTTCTGGCACGCTTACTTCTGGGTGTCTGAAGCGGTGGCAGCTCTTCCATTGTTCAAGTTGCTCTCTACATGCACAAATTTCATGCAATACAGGATGAAATAGGCGGTACCGCGATGCTGCTTGCCGTGCCGCACGACGCCCGCGATCATAACATTGGATGCTGGACAAGCTAGTCCCTATTAAGTAAGGCGTATTTTTCACAGCTTGGCAGGCCTCCCTCTGGCGGTCCATCAATGAGGCATCCAATACCAGATTACCAGTGGGGTAGATCTCAACAACACAGCAGTCTGCATCGGCTAGCAATGGATAGGGCGAGAAATTGTTCGCGCTTATAAGATTCTGCTCCTCAAGATGTCGAGGGCTGAGACTTGTTTTTTTCGATGCGTGCCTTAGAAAGCGATTTGTCGCGATCGCGATGCGACGCGTGGCAGGATAGGATCCAGCAATATCTTCGCGCACCGCCAAAAAGCTGTCTCTACCCATTCATAATCTATGGTAGCGAAGATGACGCACCCAAATTTGTCTCCTCCGAAGTTCTACTCAGTAGAAAAGGATTGGCTACATACACAAGTACCTATGTACTAGTTCATTTCGGCTGGAATAGACGCAGTTGCAGTAGCACATCTATAATGGCGACCAACAACCTACGAAGTATTTACCTGCAATACAAGCACGATACCGATGTCGTGGCAGCATGGCGTAAGTTGTGGTCAGAGTTACGAGAGATGCTATGCACCACCTTTGCTGGGAGTTGATGGGGAGGATGAAAGAACAGTTCAATCCTATTATTGCTGCCAAATCTGAGAAGCAGTGGGAAGCACAGAAGAGCAACGTGTCGTTTGTTGTTGGCTTCGTCTTCTCTACGGCAGCAGGCAAGAAGGATATTGAGACAGACGGTGTGCTTTCGGAAGAGCTGTTGAAGATCGCTGCGCAGATTACGGAAAAAGTTCCTGGAGGAAGGGGAAGGTAGTGTGATCACCGAAAGTGGATGCCTGGAAGAGTATTGGGACTCAGCCGGGACAGAAGAGGGGGAAATATTGAAAACCAATGTGAGAGGCTCTCTCACCTCAAAGGTCTTTTTGGTTTAAACTACGTAGAACACGGCTCCCCTTCGTATGGCCTTTTCCTTCAATCACTTCTTATCTCTACTACACCACCCACTGCTCTTCATTGCACCTTCTCAAAGATCACCTACTCAGAAAATATGGCACCAGCTCCGCCTACTGTTCTCCATGCCTGCTTCGTCTGCAAACAGCCCGCCGAACAGCATTGTGCCGCCTGCAGCAACGCGCGCTATTGTTCAACTGCATGTTAGAAAGAAGACTGGAGTACGCACAAGATGCTTTGCAAATCCTTCGTGGAACTCGAGCCCCGACCTGGTCCGAACTTTTTCCGCAGCATTTTCTTTCCTGAAGACGAGCATCTGCCACGATTTGTTTGGGTCGGATACAAAAATGTCGACTACTTCACGTCAATGTCCTGCGAGCCTTTCTTCGGCAAGAACACGCTCGGTGGAGTGATTCAAGACCAGCCTTATCTCAAGCGCATACCCACGCACCGCCTCGATATTTACTACAACGACAACTACATAGGCTAGGGCCTGCCCGCGACTCCGATTCTGACCAAAAGGCTAGGACCAGCGATTGGGAAATACTTTCGTGGACCATGGCTCGCACACGCCTACGAGAACGGCGTCATGTTTGACGAGAAGTGGGAGTCCGAGATGGGTAGACCATGCGATATCGATACAGCGGCTTTGGCTAGTCTCTTGGGATATTTCGAAGGTCAGGGTGCGGATCACTATGCGAGAAGCAACTTTCGCTGAGGCTTCACTCATCCAAAGATCACCGGGTTGCGATCTGATAAGATCTAAGGGTCAATTGGCCTGGAGTAGGACCGAGCATGGGAGAGCTATTGGGTTTGTCGACACCTATGGAAAACATGGTCTTGCAAGCGCGTGGCGGCCTGTCTCATGGACACCTTTTGGGTACTTCATTTCCTCTATTTCACGACATTGCTTTGCAGCCTCGAGGATGCGCGTTGTGATTACTGGCGCAACGTGGGGCAGGCAATGCCGTCACAGTTTGATGTTAGCACCTGCTGAATTGAGCCAAGCCCCGCACTATCTGCATAGGGCGTGCCAGCGGCTATCATAGGTATACAACATCTTAGCAAAAGTCCTGAAATCTTCAATACTGTATCTTCAACTCGTATCACTCTTGATAACTCGACATTGGCATTATGACGTTCGATATTTCAAAAGCTCGGGAGCGCTTCCCCGCACTTCAGCAAGATCAGGTCTTCCTTGACAACGCTGGCGGCAGTCAGGCATTGGGTGATGCGATTGACTCGTCAGTTGATCCACAGATTGCGAATACCTATCAGAACTGATATGATACAGAATAGTACAATACCTGTCCAAGACCAATGTTCAGCTCGGCGCTTCCTACCATACTGGCACTCAGTCAAACACGAAGTACGAGGAGGGCTACCAAGCAGCCGCAAAGTACATGAATGCTGGCCGCGATGAGATTGGTAATGGAGCTCTCAATTCGCTCACACTCTTTTGCTAACAATCACTAGTCCTCGGTGCTTCAACAACCCAGCTCTTCATGAACCTCGGCTCATCCCTGCAATTTCCTTCGGGCTCAGAAATCATCCTCTCAAAAATGGAGCACGAGACTAACGCGAAGCCCTGGCTTTTCATGGCTGAGCGTCTTGGTTTGACTGTGAAGTGGTGGGCGTCTTCAAAGGAGGATGGACTCAAACTCACAGCCGAGAACCTCAAGCCGCTGTTGAGCGACAAAGTGAAGTTCGTAGCATGCACGCACGTGAGTAACATTCTGGGAACGATTCATGATGTGAAGTCTATTGCAGAGGCGGTGCATTCGGTTGGCGCGCTGTTTTGCGTGGATGGCGTTAGCTATGCGCCACATCGCGCAGTTGATGTGAAGGCGTTCGGAGTCGACTTCTACGCGTTCAGTTGGTACAAGGTTTGTCACTACCCAGTATATTCCCTCCTACTACTGTATTAACAAGAAGAAACAGGTCTATGGCCCTCACGTTGCGGTACGTTAAAAAACAACCCCTTGTATGGGCTGTATTTGAGACGAATACTGACTTCATACACCCATCTTTAGGCCCTCTATGCAAGCAACTCAGCCCAACAGCACATGAAACCCTTGTCTCACTTCTTCAACCCCACTAAGACCCTCGAAGACAAGATCGGGTTCGCAGGCTCAAACTACGAGTGCGTACAGTCCATCCCGACGATCACCGCCTACCTCGCCGACGCTTTTCCCGCCATCACTGAGCATGAGGGGAAATTGCAAGCCATCCTGCTCGACTACCTGAAATCACGACCAGATGTCACGATCTTGGGATCTACGTCGAGCGATAGCAAGGAAAGGGTACCTACAATCTCTTTCACGGTCAAGGGTATGAGCAGTAAGGCGATCGTGGCTGAGGCGGAGAAGATTAGTAACTATGGGTTCAGGTGGGGCCATTTCTACTCAAAGAGGCTTTGCGACGAGTTGCTGAAACTGGAGCCGGAGGGTGTAACGAGAGTCAGTATGGTGCACTATAATACTGAGGAGGAGATCAAGGGACTGGTTGAGGTGCTGAAGAAGGTTCTTCCGCAGGTTTAGAGGAATTTGTGGCATCAACGTTGGGATATATAGTAGTGAGTTATGTACTGTAATCTCTCGTAGTAGTCAAAGTATTAGTTGAACAATTTGGTACGCCCCTTCCAAATAGCCACTAAGAAGTACCACGATGAAGGGAAGCAATCCAAAAGGATCACCATAAACGACGAGCCACTCACGACTCCCGCAATACACACGACATATACGATGGCTGAATCCCCCCGTTAAATAATGGAAGGGATGAGAAAGAGGTCTAAAAGGATCACATCTCCAGTTAAAATAATGATAAACTGCCCCCAAATCTACGCTTTTAGGTTTCGCCAAACAGCCGTCTCAAATCTTGCGACAAGATCGAACGTCTTGCGATCTGCCCAAGGAGACACCTGCGTGGCAAAGAAAAGCGCGATTCCCCTCTCACGATTGACACTCCACTGTAGGTTCGGAAGTCCTGACCAGCACAATGTACCTTTTGGCTTGAAGTAGTTCTCTCGATCCACATCTTCCATCAACAACAGGCTACCCAGCCCGAAGTTCGGTTTGACGCCTTCCATACTGGCGTCCAACGTGCAGGTATAAGCGAGCTCAGCGTTATCGACGAGTGCCTTGGCCGCGAGACTGTCTTCGGCGAACTGCGGGCTGAACATGGCGTCGACCATGGTCTTGGAGAGGATGGTAGGCGAGGGTTTGAGAAGATCGGAAAGCACGCGCGTGTAGTCGTACACATTGGCATACAAGCCCGCTCCACCACCTTCTCCGACAGGGTCGTCAGGCCAAAAAGGTGTGGGGCCGTCTTTGAGACTGCCGTCGTCTTGCCGTGTGCTCGTGCGCATCAGCTTTTCTTCGACTGCGGGCTTGCGCTTGAGATGCCAGGTAAATGAGGTTATACCGAGAGGCTTTGCAATGTTGAATTCAACATATTCTTCGAAGCTCATGTTGGTCAAGCGTGTGATGAGCAAACTAGTCCAATCAAAACCACCACTGTATTGCCAGCCTTCTCCAGCTTCGGAGGTCCGTGGGTAAGCATACCTTTTAGCCACATTGCCATCGGTTATCAAAGCGGGTAGTTCGCCGCGTGAGGCTCGCCAAGCATAAAGGCTTGGAGAAGCCCAGTCTACGAGTTGGCGAAGTCGGTCTATGCCGTGTCCAGTCTGTCTAGAAACACTTACCGTACGTCGTGCCACTAGAATGCGTGAAAAGCTGACGCAGGGTGATGAACTTCGTGGCTGGACGCACTTTGATCTCGGAGCCGTCCATCTGGACAATGGGCTGGGAAGCCAGTTCTGGTAGGTACTGATCGACTGGTTCGTCTAGCGTGACCAGACCTTGTTCAACGCTTTGCAGGGCAGCAATAGCGGTGATGAGCTTTGTGCAGGATGCAATGAAGAAGGTTCGATCGAAGTCCATAGGCTCCGCATCTTCAGTGACGCCATTGTGACCTGCGGTCTTCTTGTACATGAAGTTACCTGCAGCAGGCGTGAGATGTATTCATTGAGAGACAACATGGGGAAAGTACCATCCTTATCGACGACAGCCATCACCGCGCCAGGCACGATGTTCGAGCCTTTGGCAGTCGCCTTCTTCAGGTATTCTTCAAACGCGTCCATTTAGAGAAAGTCGAAGTATCCAATCTTGATAAAGTGGTTGCTACAGTAATCTTCAAAGTGCTCGAATGTTGTTGTGTGGGCGTTTTGTCCTGACAAGATGGCGACAAGTATTTAAACAATTGCCATCAGGCTATCCTTCGCTAATCATCATTCATACCGCTTTCCAAACCATAAGACAAGGTAACTATGATTTACAATGAGCGTTAGCATACTTCATGTACTTGAAGGGTGGGGGCGAAGGCTTATGTCCGATCGCCGTGCAGCGAAAAGGCATCGCAGCCATTGGTCTCGTGAAGCCAGCCAACTTTGCCTGTAGTGTCCGTTTTTGTGCCATCTCGGGTCTACTGTCGCGATTACTTGCAAGAGGGGTTGGCCGCCAGAAAATACGTGTAAAATGGGGCAATCAAGTCCCCCCATCTGTCGTCTGCCTCTTGTTGCAGAAAGTCTTGCCTGCTCTCGCTATGTGCCATGTGCATCCCGCATCTGCATCCATGAAAGTACTAATTGCCAATTCGGGTAAGCGGTCCACGGGTATGTGTAGACAAGCAATCTTGACCTCGCTCTTTCCTCACACCGATCGTGTCCATCTGTGTGACGATCCAAGTACAGTGTAGGGTGAAGATGACATACATCCGGGGCTAAGACGATCGGGGAAAAGTTATGCCGGCTTTAGGAAAAGGTAACTCTCTGTGTGGAAAGCTGTCATTTCACGAACAAGAACAGTTTTGACGTCAATTTGAGAGGTCGCATTGTCGGAAGCACAACAGCCGGACCAGGTTGAGCAGGTAGACGTCTGCGCTACGTTTGTCGCCGCAGCAAGGCTGGTGTTGGGATCAAAGGAACATGTCTGGGAGATCGGACAAAAATCGGTTGGCGCTCGGGCCCTCTTGCTTTGACATCTACCCCTGCACCCTCTATCTCACACTTGATGTCATCTCCCCTCGCAGCTCATCTTATGTGTACGACATTCTCTCAAATCTTCATGCTCGGTAAAATTCACAACACCATGGATAGCCACCGGCAATGACGAGGTCGATCATCCAGCCTTTGTCCAGTCGGAAGAACTCAAGCCGAACTGCACCAATGGGGAAGAGCCGTTGCAAAGCCGGTCCGACGACCCCATACTTGGAGCGGTGATTACCCCGGGTTTCCAATGTAAATACGGCGTCTTGAGCGGTAGCGCACTTCTTGAGATGGCTATGTGGGGCAATTGATGAACATGTTACAGTAGACAAGGTTCTCCAGATATGGCATGCGCCACTCGAAATAGCGCAATGCCCATTGCTTGTATAAATCCTCCGGGGCATCGTCCCTCGATTTACAATCACGCTCACTGCATACGCCAGCCACCATGCGCTTCTCTTCAGCTATTGCGCTCGTCAGCTTATTCTCTCGGTCGACCGTGGGAAGCCCACTCACCAGCAACGAGCTTACCAGTCGGGCTACAACGTTCAACAATCCAGTCTTGTGGCAAGACTATCCTGACCTCGACGTCTTCCGGATAGGCGATGTTTTCTACTACTCCTCCTCGACTTTCGCCTTTTCGCCAGGAGCTCCGGTCCTAAAGTCTTACGACCTGGTCAATTGGACACCAGTAACTCATAGCGTACCACGACTCAACTTCGGCTCCCTGTACGATCTCGATAACACAGCAGGCCACGCTTACGTCAAGGGCATCTGGGCCAGCTCACTGAGATACCGAAAGTCGACCGACAAGTTCATCTGGATTGGTTGTGTTCAATCCACCGGCAAGTCGTACATCTGGACTGCCGACGGGACCAATGCAGCCGCCAACAATGGCGAAGTATCGAGCTGGAACTGGAAAGCTGCGGGCTCATTCCCCAAATGCTATTACGATAACGGAATTTTCATTGACGATGATGACACCATGTACATCGTGTACGACAAGTACCAGCTCAAGGTTGCCCAATTGAACGCCGACGGCACAGCGGAAGTCAGGAGTCAACAAGTCTACGAAGATCCAAATGGCCTATACCTCGAAGGTTCGCGCATGTACAAGATCAATGGCACATACTACATCTTCGCTACCAAGCCTGCCGATGACGAGTGGGTGTTGAAGTCAAAGAGTCCCTGGGGCCCATACGAGGCGCGAGTCCTTGTCGACAGCATCGCAGGACCTCTGCCCAACGCAGGCAATAGCCACCAAGGTGGTGTGGTCGACACTAAAGATGGGAACTGGTATTATGTTGCGTTTATGGACTCATACCCTGGCGGACGTATCCCTGTTGCTGCGCCTTTGAAGTGGACGGCGGATGGATGGCCGGAAGTCGTGAAGGTGAATGGCGCGTGGGGGAAGACATATCCTATGCCAGTCACAACCGCCAAGACCGTCCCCCCACCCACCGGCCTGGATAAGTTTACCGGAACAGCTTTGAGTGCGGAATGGGAATGGAACCACAACCCTGATACCAGCAAGTGGAGCCTAGTAGGCGGGGCTGGTGGCATCAAGTTACAGACTGCTTCTGTTACAAACGACCTCTACGCGGCGCGCAATACGCTGACACACCGTATCCTTGGCCCGAAGTCATCGGGAACCTTCAAGATCGACATCAGCAAAATGGCCACTGGCGACCGTGCTGGCGCTGTACTTTTCCGTGACACCGGAGCATACATTGGTATACATAAGGAAGGCTCTGTGGCGAAGTTGGTAATGGTCAACGGCTTGGAATTGAACGCAGACCGAACGACGAAGTCCACCGGTACTGTTGCTGCCACGGGGCCTAGTCTTGCTGCCGGCACGACTGACCTATGGTTCCGCGTTCAGTCGGATATCACGCCAGCTTTCTCTAACACTAATGCGGTGCGACAAACAACCTTCTGGTACAGCACTGATGGCACCAAATTCGTGCAGCTCGGTCCTGCATACAATATGGCAAATACCTGGCAATTCTTCACGGGATACCGATTCGGTGTGTTCAACTTTGCGACAAGCAAGCTGGGTGGGGAGGTCCTGGTTAAGAACTTTGAGTTGAAGTTAGTGTAAACGCAATTTGTAGTATCACGACGAGGGGACACTTTCGAGATTACAACCAGCCTACTTCACAAACCTCCACAAAAACAACATCACTGCTGCATCGTCGTCTGCAATCTTAAGAATGAATGAATCGGTGAAGTGACGGACCGGAGATAAGAAGATAAGACGCAGCTGCTGATATCGTCACCGCAACATCCGCTGCTGTATCTCCACAAATTACGGCACGTGCAAACAGCGTTTGTACGTCTACAGCCAAACAGCTTCCAAGACTCACAGTTACCCCAATATATTGGCGCGTCACATTCATAGTTCTCCAGAGTTATTTCAATACTACCCGTGAATATGTATCGTCACAGGAGCACGCAATCGCGCCATGATAGACGGTCAACACCGCCTGTATATAAGATCTTCCACCATCGCTCTTGGTTAGCAAGGTCGAGTACTCTCGCGATTTATAACTCATACCGGTGACTTATCAAGACTAGGTCACTTTCTACACTCTTTGATACATTTCCAAGGTCAAGATGGGGAACACGTACCATCATCACAGCGAAGAAAAGAAGCCTTTGAAGTGGTTCGCTTCGCCTTTAGTCGAAGATCATATCAAAGACCACGGCGACACGGAACACCAAACCCCAGCCATCACTCGAGAGAATACGCAATCGGTCCTCGGTAGCGAGTTTCAAGATCATAATGCCGAAGCTGGTCTTCAGCTCGAGGTCGAGGTGTGTACGCAGGAACTGCGTGACATGCCGTCTTTCCAGCGCCATGCTGAAGCCACGACCCAAGAGCTCTTCTTTGATCTCTGTAAGTATTCCAAATTCACTACGGTACAAAGTTGTCTTGCTAATGACGCCATCTCTCAGTCTTCGTCGCGAACTTGACCACTTTCACTTCCTTGAAGGAGATCAACGATAGCGCCTCGCTGCGCGCCTACATCGGATTCTTCGCCTTGCTCTGGCTCACCTGGTACTCGAACTCGCTCTATGACGTTCGTTTCACTGCCGATTGTATCTTCGAGCGAGTCGCCAAGGCCCTCCATTTTGGTGTGATGGTCGGTTTCGCTGTCGTCGGTCCTGCTTGGGAACCCGGCAAGCCCACAAGCTCACTTCAGAAATATCAAGTTCTCTCGTTCATCCTCATGGTCTCTCGCCTGGTGCTTGCCGCCCAGTATAGCGTCACTTTGTACTTCGTGCGCAAACACAGAAGGACTATTATACCGCTGTCCCTCGTCATCGTCTCGACGCTCATCGCGGCGCTGATGTACGGAAGCATCACTGCTGCTCTACCCAAGGAGACGTGCAACCTGGAGTTAGGAGTCTGCAAGCAATTCACGACTAAGGTACACTATGCATGGTATATTATCAGCGCCGCTGAAATCATCATCACTGTTGCTATCTCGTGCTACTGGCGCGTCATCTCGTTCAAGGGCACCCATATTGTGCAGCGCATGTCGCTGCTCACCTTGATCATCTTGGGCGAAGGCATCATTGTTGTCTGCAAGGCAATATCGAAGATCGTCAAGAATGGATCTCAGTTCGATACTCAGCTGACTGGCCAGATCGTCTCTTCGGTGTTGATAATCTGTAAGGCGCCAATCACCGACCTGACTTCTCCAGCATTTTGCTAACACCCTTCAGATCTACTCTACATGCTATACTTTGATCGCATGCACGAAGATCACTTCGGTACGATCAAGCAGCAAGTCTGGGCTTCACTCCACTTCTTTCTTCACATCATGCTCGTCCTCGTCTTACAGGGCGTCTCTTACCTCATCATGTGGGTAGTTGCCTTGATTCGGATGGACCGCGTCGACGAGAAGTTCCGCGAGGTTGAAGGGCTCAGCTTGACCGGTGCTTATGCTAATGGCACCCTTTTCGCCAATGCCCTCCGTCGCAAGATCGACGTTTATCTGTGGAACACGATTCCCAAGGGCGTCGACGCAAGTAAAGCGCTGGAAACCTGGAACAGCACTCTTATCATCCTTGCGCAGAGCTTCGATAATCATCAGAAGGACGATCAGAACCTGACGGCTGTGGACATGATCACCAAAAGCTTGAACACCGCAGAGAGCATGGCCATCCAGACTTTATTCGACAGCTTGTCCATATCCGTACCAAAGACCGCACCGAAGACGGTAGAAGAGCCCCAGAGAAAGTTTTTCGACAAGGTCGCTCTCCTTCAGAAGTACGAAACGCGCTTCGAACTTGTTTTCGACTACGTTTTCCTATCAGTAAGTCCGGTCTCATTTTCTGATCCTCTCAAACGCATCACTGACACGTAGCCTAGGCCGGTCTCGCCCTTACGTTCATGGCCATCATTGCCTTTGTCTCACTGACACCCGCGAAACGCCACCTACGTCAATACATGCGCCTTCTCACCATCGTTATCATCGGCTTTGCTGTCTGTTTGATATGCCTCATTAATACGAGTAAACCGAGTCAGAAGCATTACATGGAGAGCAACTGGATGTTGCCAACCATCTGTCTACTGTTTTTCGTATGCGTCCTGGTGAGCCACTTGAGGCCTCCAGCTCGGTGGAGGGGAGTTGGAGGACATCACAAGTGGCATGGAGCTTAGTGGCGCTCTCTGGAATCCTGAAGATACCAATATATCCTCGAGGATAGAGTGGAGGGAGATGACATATCGACGGAGCTGGGGGAAATGGGTTTGCACGTTGCTTGGGCCTGCACAAAACTTGGGTTTAGATCTACATTTACTGAAGATCTGCAAGTATATGGGGCGGCCTACAGCGGTTGCCGGAATACAAATTATACTTGTGAACTCTTCGTCTCCATCTAGTACTGTGACATGAGGTCAACGTCAACTCTCTCGAGTCGAGCTTTCCATTCACCACCCTCATCCCGATTAGTCCCGCGTCCAGTCCAAAATGCCGACCTTACAGCCTTCTCGTTGACCTCATCATTTGAGTCTCGAATCCCCAGAATTTCGAATATCCTCCGCACATACGCAACAAGTCCTCATCGTCGACATCTGTACAAGCGCCATCGCAGCCTCCTCCATGTTGCGCCTCTCGATAATCCTCTCGATGCCCGCATCAATCGAGTCAATCTGACGCAGGACTTCTTGCCCAACGGCGTCCTTGTTCTAATGCAATATTAGCTAGGTTACTCTAAGCCACATAGCACAAGTAGGCTGACCATGAGCTCGCGTCTCAAGCCGAATAGTGGTTCCGGGACAGCTGATGACAAGCCGATTTGAATGGTGTGTAGTCGTGCTTTTCGCGCTCTCAATACTTCGAGCCAGCCAGCTCTTTTCCTGATCTCGATTTCGCGATTGAGGCGCTGGGCCGCGGACATCGGCAGGGTCAGCGGTGACCGGATTCTACGAGTACGCTTGGGTACCGCAAAATAAACTGGGGTGGCCGAGATAACGGGAGACTGTGTGTCGGATTTGGCGTGGTAGTAGGGCAGTAGTCGGTACTGATATACGAATGAAAGCCAATTTTCACGAGACATCGTGATGACGAGTCAATTTGTGCACGCAACCCAAGATAAGAGCGCCAGTAACAGCGTTACGATCGTAGTGGACGCAGATATTAGAGTATTATGCATCTACGGGAAGGTGGCAGAGTCGCGACTTTCGTTTGCAGACAGAGGCGTCCCTCTACGTAAGCCTTCCCTCTCACCTGCAACAACCTTGCGCTGCATCCATTCTGCCGCCTAGAATACTCGTCCCTTCGTCTGTTGCATCTTGGCCACATTGAAGTTCTTGATCAAGAAAACCCACACCAAACAAAGTCCCATAATCGCCGTACCCGCGATCAGCATCCTCTTCTGTGCAATACCATATGCTTCCTCGATAGCCAACCTCGTCGCACTACCCTTCGCATAGCTCAATTGCTCATCTAAGCTACCATAAATGAGATCGAAGTTCTCCATAGCATCAGCTGGCAGTAGATTCATTAGTGCCTGAGGGAAGGAGTTTGTCCAGATCGCGCCTGAGATGGTGGATCCGACTGCGCCGCCTAGCCATCCAAAGATGTTGAGAAGCGCGAGAACAGAGGCAATGTGTTGGTGATCTGCAGCGGCCATGACGGCGATCTGCTCGCAAAGAATAATGATGGAACCACCAATCGCGATGAAGACTTGGCACATGACTAGGTAGCCTACACTGGTATTCGGGTGACGGAAGTAGATCATGAGACCCTGTCCAAGAATGTAAATTGGCACAGCAATGAAGAGAAGCCAGCGGAAGTAGCCAGTCTTGCTGATGATAAGACCAACTGACAAGAGCAGTACACCGGAGAGGACGTCGAACGTGGAAGCGACGTAGCCTGCTTCTGCGATCGTGAGGTTGGTGACGACCTGCAAGAAAGAGGTAAAGTAGGAGTTCCAGGCGTAGTATGAAATCTGGTACGTGAAAGATAGGAGACAAGCGCCGAGGACCGAGCGGCTGGTCAAGAGGTCGAAGGGCAGAAAGGGCTTTCCGGCTGTGAAACGCTCGTGGAGGCCGAACCCAATCAGGAGCACGAAGCCAATGACTAACATCGCGATGATGTACCCCGTAGACCAGCCATTGGGTGCTGAGTCGGCGAGAGTAAACGGTAGGAGGAAGATGACGAGACCAGCGGCCAGTAGAAAAGCTCCGGGAACTATTGAGCTATTAGCATGGTTCAGTGAAGTTTCTCGATGGCATAAGACACTGACCATCAAACTCGCGAATATGAAAAATGACGCTCTGCAAAAGGTTCCTGCCGCTTGCCTCTCTTTCGAGAACGCCATTTCTTTTCGCCTTCCGCAGGTTGAGCTTCAACACTAAGAAAAGTGGTGCCGCCACAAAGGGCAGAATGATAGCGAAGGTACCGAAGCCCCAGCGCCAGTTGATGTTGTTGTAAAAGCCCTCAGCCGCCTTTGGTCCAGCGAACGCTGTGATGATGTATGGCGAAGATGTGAATGCGAAAGCCAGACCTCGATGTTTCAAGCTACTGGAATCTGCCGTGATTACATCCACACAGTAGGTCATGCCGCCAAACCCGATTGTGTAGAAGACCTGTGCAGCACAGTACGTTGCCAGATTGGTCGATGCAGCCATTATGATCAACCCAAGGGTAGCGAAGCAAACCATAGTAGCAAAGCCTTCAGCGCGGCCCCAAAGATCGAGCAGCTTGGCGGTGGGAATGTATACGGCTGCAGCCATAGAGTTCGAAACTATGGTAATGACGGTGATGAGGGAGTGTTCTTCAAATCCGGACGTGACGTAAGGTGTAAGGTTCGCAGTTATGGATGACTGGAACGCATTCGTGAGGTATAAGAGCCACATGCTTGGGATTATGTCAGTCTCATCATCGGGAAGTATTTGGAAGTTTGAACGACGTACCATAAGAATGCGCATGCTAAAGATGTCTTGGTCCACGCCAAAGTAACAGCTTCGACTTCCCTGACACCCTCCTGGGCAGAGACTGAAGGCATATTAGCCTCCTCAACCTTGCGGATCGCATCTTCCTCGTCGATATCGACAACGTTAATGCTCTTTTGCCTCGTCGGCTCGGTGCCAGGCTGAGCTGTAGCAATAAAATCCATGGTTGTAGGCGTGTTTCAACGATCTGATAACCTGTCTGGACGGATTGAACGCATAGCAGTCTGCCTACCACACAGGGCACCGAAGCTCAAATACATTGCGGCAACTCTGGGTCCTGCACGGCAGCACCGCCTGAGCGTGATTCTCATGTGGACCTACATACCCAAGCCAAAGCTTCGTCCGCTGGACGCCTTGAACTAGAGCTTGTCTCGGAGCTTGGCCACGACGTCGCGACAGTAGGACTAGACGGCGAACACGAGATGTTGGGTAAGGCTTTAGCCATGACGGGTACGCATTGAAGGAGTACTAGCCCTTCGGAGCATGGTGTTGATGGATAATCTTATCAGATGGGTCCCTTCGGCGGGTCCAGAGACGGCTTGAACCCCATCTTCGGCTCTTTTCCGGTGCTACGAGCTTTACATCCGCAAATGATCTGTTAGGGGCGATTTTGCGGCTGAGAGCCAAATAAGAAACTTGTGTTGTGGCTGGCGAAAATTTGCGCGTGGTTCGATGTTTGGGTGGAGAACATCTCACATGAGTTCGCTTGATCTTATCTTATCTTGATCTAGATCGGATGCTAGGCGCGTGCTCGTCGCGTCCGACGTCGGCGCGCCTCATTGCTAGCTACTCACCATTGCATCTCTATTCTTTCTCATTGTTTTCATCTTCGTATTATTTGCAACGGATTAACTCTATCTAAAGACGCTCTGCCCAGTCTATTGCTCACAGTGCTCCAGCAGCTAGTGAGTGGGCACGGTGGCTCTAATAACCGCGATGCCCTTCCCTTCCGCATCTGACAAGACTTGCGCGGCCTCGACCCAATCTCGCTGTCTCAGTGAAACTTTATGTAGTGCGGCATGATTCCCCTCCCGTTTACGAACTGTGAGAGCGTCCACCCAAACCACTGTGCGGTAATCAGGGTCTACGACCTCGATAGATTCTAGTCCCAGGGGAAGTGAGTCGACCGAGTCAACTCTATGGCTCATTTGTACGCTGCATAGCGCTTCATTCGTAATGCGTAGCCGTTTCAGTTTGTCAAACTTATGATGGCGCAGTGAAGTGCCAATGGACCGGGCCCGTGTCGATATGCTTTCATCCGTAAAGGGTACCTCGACATCGATAGACAACGCTTCCAGCGTTGGCGCTGCATGTTTCAGAGCTACGATGACACTATCCCAACCTAGATCGTCTCTTTCTTCAAAGTCAAGGTGAGAGTGCCGCTCAGGGTAGGTAAGACACACGTCTATCTTCCGAAGCGCTGGCAAACCCTGTAAAAGTGCGTGGAGATATTCGCTTCTGACGCACCTCCTACCATCAAGCATTTGAATCCCCAGCTCAAAATGTATAGAAGTGATGCTGGTAGAAATGACTGCGGGTATCGGGGCTGCGATAGGGTTCGCTCCCAAGAAGGTGTCCCACTGTAAGCTCAGCGACTTCAGATTCGGGGCTCGAAAGAAGTCAAAGTCTGTGATCTCTTCACAGGTCAGGTGTTGCAAACCACTTAGACCACTAATGGCATTGTCGCGAACTTGACTCCCTTGCGCACCGAACCAGTCCTGCACTGTCGTCTCGGTGATCCTTGGCAGTACCTTACCATGTTCCGACGGGCCGAACGGTTCTTGATAGGTTTGTATGTCTAATTTTTTCAGATTGGGGAGCAGGCTGAGGATAAGGCCACCGAGTGACGGCTCGAAATAACATGCAGGCATCGTTTGTCCCCCGATCTTTCCGTCGATGGGAATCTCTTTCTCGCCCTCAACTTGGGTGCAAAGCTTATAATTGAAGCCCACTCGGCGCTCTATATCATCTTCGAGATCTTTTAAACCGCGCACGCATTGTTGGTCTTTACATTCGGACTGTTCGCTGTGCAGTCGCTTAGTGACTGGAAGGACGAGACGATGCACGAAATTCGCGAGTTTCGGATCCTTAATCAACGCTCGGAGGAATTGCATAACAGCACCATGATGATTGTATCCTACGGGAAGGATAGGCGCACGGCATAGAAACTCCGCGGCGACGGGTTGGTATTTCTTTGCAACATGCGCGAAACCTACTAGAGTGGTCTGGTCAACTTTGTTAGAAGTAATCCTGTGGAGTATGTTGAGGATCAACTCATCAGGCAGATCTTCTAACTTAGCCATGCTACTGTAGTGTGTGGCCTACGAGGTAGGCTCGAGGGCGAGAGGTATGAGACCAAGAATGGTTGAGAGGGGATTTCGCTGGGCCTGTATATGTAGTGGAAATCTTGATCACTCTCTGTGTGGAAATGATGTATGCTTTGTTCGTACACGTTGTAAACCTTTGCTTTGATCTGGCGCTGGCGGATAGAAAGCACTGTGTTGGATTAAATCAGATGGTGGTGTTGAGCGTTGAGGCAGCGATCATACCAATCTCATACAAGACATGGGGACACCTGAAGCTCGGTCATTGCGGTCGCTCAGATCAACAAAGCTTACTCTACTTGAAGTCCTTCTCACTCAATGAATCTTCCATCTTCTGTATCCTTTCCCAAGTTTCACTCCACTTCTCCCATTCGCCATCAGGAAGCTTACCCTTGAGGGGAAGTCTTCCGCCCTCCATTGTGCCAAAATTGGTGACCCTCTTGACTGCTTCTTTGATGCCCACAATACCGTACTTTCCAATGAACTCTTCAGCAGTGCTAACTGTGTACTGCAATTCCTTCATCTTCTTGAGGTTCTCATCGGTGATCGGTCTCGTCTCCGCCAGCTTCATCAACGAGCATACAGTCTTGGGGTATATAGCTGCGAGACCATCGATGACACCCGCGGCATCGAATATGACAATGGGACCGAGTTGTTGGCCGAGGCCAGAGTAGACACGGAATTTGTTGTGGTCGATCTTGGGGTCTAGGGAGACCTGGTTGTGCCATGAGACGACGGCGTGCGACATCTTGCAACCGACGATGTTGGGATGTTGCGCGAGGATGCGGTAGGTCTCGGGGGTGACCATGACGCCGTTGGTTACACCAGGGTAGTTGTAGCTGTCGTCTCGTTAGTCCGATACAAGAGGTTCGCGTGATTGAATACCCACATCAGTACAGGCAATGGGCTCTTATCAGCGACAACGGTATACCATTCTCTGATACCTTCCTGGCTCGCCGCGGCTCCGAAGTAGCCAGGCGCAAGGACAAGTCCCCATTGTGCACCCGCTTTTTTGAAGTCTTCCAGCCACTCCAGCGTTTCATCCACACTGTTGATCAATGTGCCCGCCATGATTGGGTAGTCTTTGAAGTCTGCCTCATTCAGCCCCTCACGCACGCCAGAGACAAGGTCGATGCGCTCTTGTCGCGACATGTGAATCGCTTCGCCTGTGGAGCCGAGCAGGACGAGGCCGCGAACGCCATTTTTGGCAAGTAACACAGAGTGCTCGACTTGGGTCTGGACGTCGACAGCGGGCTGCAGCAATTTGGATTCGGATTGGGGTTTGAAGAAAGTCGGGACGGGGACGAATACGCCGGTTGGTGGTGATGATGACATCTTTGGGGCTTTTTCGTAGAATCGCGTTCTCGTCGCGTGGTGATGCGTTTCTTCTTCTTACTGAAGTCAAATGTCAAGCAACAGCTATTACGCGCAGCGAGTACCGCAAGTTTTATTGCAAGTCTTGGTCAGCCGTTCCTCGGGTTGCTTTACTCCAGCTGCCGAAGCTATGCGCCCCGCGGTGGAGCCCTTCTGGCCCTTTTGACCCCGCGTCACCGTTCGGCTTACCGCGAAGGGGACAGAGCGGCGGCATTGTGTTGATTGGCTAAGGTGGAAATGAAGTAGACGCAGATGGCTATGTCATTTTTCAAATGAAGAATATCCTTGAGATTCTGACAGCAACTTGGCATCGACAAACCCGGACGCCGAAAGAGATAGTAGAGGAGAGTAACGAAGAGCGTAAGCCATGGGGAAAATAGCAACAATCGAGTACTTTCGCGTCCCGCCGCGTTGGCTTTTCGTCAAGATTACCGATGCAGATGGAAACTTTGGTTGGGGCGAAGCATCACTAGAAGGCCACACACAAGCGGTCGAAGGATGCTTAGACGCTTGGGCTGAGCGTTACGTTGGCTTCGAAGCAGAGTGAGACGATTCCTATTACGCGAAGTGGTATCAATGCTGACGACATAACAGTGACATTGAGCACATATGGCAAATGTGCTGGCGTACCAGCTTCTATCGTGGTGGACCAGTCTTTATGAGCGCACTAGCTGGCATTGATATTGCACTCTGGGACCTCAAAGCTCGGAGACTCAATGTGCCAATCTACCAACTCCTCGGAGGCAAAGTACGCGACAAGCTCAAAGTGTATGCATGGATAGGCGGAGACCGACCAAACGATGTCAAGGAACAAGCGTGAGTATTTCGAAGTGACCAGGGTACACCGCTACTAATCGACCCATACAGTCTCGCTCGCAAAGCCCAAGGCTTCCACGCCGTGAAAATGAACGCAACAGAAGACATCGGCTGGCTCGACTCCCCTTCAGTCCTCCAATCCGCTGTCGACCGTCTCAAAACCGTCAAAGACCTCGGCATGGACGCCGGCATGGACTTCCACGGACGCATCCACAAGCCCATGGCCAAGCAACTCGCGCGAGCCCTAGAACCACACCATCCGCTCTTCATAGAAGAGCCCTTGCTCTCTGAACACATTACGGGTATCACATCCCTTCACAACCAGACCTCCATTCCAATAGCCCTCGGCGAACGTCTCCATTCCCGGTGGGACGTCCGCCCCTTCCTCGAAACCGGCTGTGTCGACATCTTGCAACCAGACATCTCGCACATCGGCGGTATATCAGAAATGCGGCGTATAGCCTCCGCCGCAGAAACCTACGACGTAGCCATCGCGCCTCATTGCCCCTTGGGACCCATCGCCCTCGCTGCATGTGTTCAGGTAGATTGCACAATAGCCAATTTCGCCATTCAAGAAATGAGTCTCGGCATTCACTATAATGCTGGTAGTCAGGATCTCACGTCTTATGCAAAGAATCCTGAGGTGTGGGATGTGAAGGATGGATATATTGAGTTGATGAAAGGACCGGGGTTGGGGATTGAGGTTGATGAGGATATGGTTAGGAGGGAGAGTAGGGATGCGAAGGCTTGGGTTAGTCCCGGGTTCATTGGGCCTGGGGGAGAGGTTAGGGAGTGGTAGAATGTTGAGGTTTACATCACATTTTCAGTGCGTGGATAGAGGCTTCATAGAGAGGCCTGGAGGTTTGCAGCATACTTTTGCCTGGTGGGCAGAGACGTCATGGGTAGGCCTGGAGGTATAGGCTGCCTTCTGTATGAAGCTTGTAAAGCCCGCTGCCCACGTGAGTACCTCCTCGACATTCTATGCATCTCTCCGCTCAATATTCTGAGGTGAAGGCGAACACAATAAGTAAATTTCCTACCTTCACCTGCCCGGTTTTTTCCTATTATCGTCTCGAGAAGTCACCTCGACTTTCCAATCCCACCTCACAATAGGCAAGTAGCTATTGTCCCATTCTTTCCAGCTTTCCCGCTCCCAGATAGCAAGTATATAAAGAGCGATTTCTCTCGTTCCCTCTTTTCTTTCTCAAGCCCACACACACACACCACACCCATACAAGATACCATCACATTTCTTCGCCAAAATGGCATTCCTCTTCTTCCTCGTCGTCCTCACTCTTCTGGGCTGGCTCGCTTGCGAGCATGACGACTTCTGGGCTTCTTCCCCTTCCTCTTCTTCTTCTTCGGTCCCTGCGGCTGGTCCGCATACCACCCGCTCTCCGCTTTCCTCTTCGCTGCCGCGTCGATAGCGTCGAGCTCTTGAGCGTGCTCGTGCTCGTGCTCGGTCTCGGTCTCCTCTCCCGGTCCCGGAGTGGGCACGTCCTGGCTCACTCCTTTCGCCGCCTCGCCAGCAGCAGCAACAATACCCGCCCTCTAAGGGCAAGTACGACACGTTCCTGGACATCAGGTCCACTGAGGCCTCTGGCCAGATAGAAAGAGTTTGGGATCCGGTGTGTGGGTGGCGCTGGCGTGCGGTCCGTGGTGAGAGATTGGCTGCGAGTTTGGTTCCCCTTCCAAATTCACGTCCCCCCTCGCCTTTCGTCGCTCCGGTTCCTCCTCCGGTCATGGTTCTTCCTGCTCTTGTTCCCGCTCCGGTTCCTGTGGCTGTTTCGGCACCACCCATCCCCATTGTTGCACCACCGCCGCCTCAGCGCACAGTCGCTGAAATCCTGGCCGGCATGCCGTCGAAGCCCGAAGGGCTCACACACGTCTTTCCGCTTCCGGCTCCAGCACCATTACCACAGCTACAGCCTCTGTTTAGTGGGTTGTCGCTGGAGACACTTGCCAATTATGCTCCGGGCTCCCTGGGACTGGTGCTGCCCGGCTTCACATCCTCGGTTCCGGCTCCCCTGGCTCCTCTCCTTCCTCGTCACCCCTCTCCCCCAGCGGAGGCTGATCATAAGCCTCCGGCTGACGACAATTCCGGATTTGTCGGGCCGCCATCTTCCCTCTCTCTTCCAGCTGGGGCCGACCATAAGCCCCAGGCTGATGACATTCCTGGACCTGTCGCGGCCCTCGCTCCCCCCCCCCCCCCCCCCCCCTCTTCTTTCACCTTCGGGCTTGGTTCTGGAGCTGCTGCTCCGTCCTTCGGTGGTGCCTTTGGTGCCGGTTTGGCCTTCCCGCCAACCTCGTCTTTCTCCTCCGGTCCCGCCTCCCGCCCCTCCTCGCGCCGTTGCGGTGGTGGCCGTGGTAGTAACGTCATCTATCAACTCCGCGAGGTCGCTGCCCCGGGCATCAAAGATGACCCCGGCGACAAGAACTCCCTCCAGGAGACCCTCCTTGACGCTGGGCTCGTCAGCATCCCGCTGGTCATGGGGGCCGACTTCTCGTACGTGAGCTCGACCGGTCTGGACAAGATCGCCGACTACATCTCCGGTTCCTCCCTCGCCTCTTTCGAGACGAATCTTCGTCTCAAAGAGAACGGACTTCGCTCGTTTGCTAACCTCCTGCGTTGGCAATACAAATCTGGTCAGTCGCAGCCCCCTGGTGGGACTGTGGCTCTTGGTCAACCCATCTCCGTGCTGGCACGTGTTAATGGGTTGGTGACTGGGTTTGTCGCTGACAATGGGGGTCAGCAGCAGCTACTTGAAGGGAGCGACTTCTATTTGTGGGCGCGGGCGTGGCGCTACCTGGAGAAGTTTGGCTGGCAGGAGCACAAAGTGCAACTGAAGCAGGAACTGGACGCGGCGGTGTTTGGGCAGTTGGAGAAGTTGGCGAGGCTGCACCAAGCCCACTGGTTGAGGTTCCTGAAGTCGTCTCGAGCTCAGAATTGAGGCGGTGGAGTGCAGCTTTGTTTGCGAGCGCCGTTTTGGTTTGCTCTTCTTTGTATGCTCGCTGTCGGCTGTTCCGCGATGAGTACTGCACTTCATGATTAGTAGATAGTTGAGAATGGTACCTTTTCTGTCTTCTCATGCCGTCTCCAAACTGTGCATAGCTTTGTTGAAGTGATGTATTATACCTAACCTTGATATTCTCAACTACTTCAAACCTTGACATCTTCAAGCCTTCAACCCATTGGAGTACATCGCGCCATCTCAAGACCCCCTCGTTCTTCGTTACAAACGTCCGCGTATACCTCCAGGCTGTCCCATGCTACTCTTCATCAACATTCTCCAGATAGGAATGCCCGCTGAAGTGTTTGAACTTAACCGGCATCGGTGACTCTCCTAAAAGACCGGAATGATGTACTGGCGGAGGTGGAAGATGAATGGGTCGAAGACCGCCAGGTAGCAAGGGCGTAGGCGGGATAACGATCTCGGCTCGGGCGGGCGAGCCAGCTGGAGTAGTAGAACCGAGTGTAGAAGCAGCCATGGAACTGGTGCTGTTGTCCCCGAACGTAGTCTCATCCTGTTCCACAGCGTCGTCACCTCCATCCACTCGAATTGAAGGCGCCATCATGTTCGTATTGCGATATGCAGCCACACTCTCTCCCATTGTCTCATCGACATACGCGGTTCCACTCCAAAGCAGCGCCTGCCAAGGCCACACGAAGCTCTCGTCTTCCCAAGGCCAGGTGTGCGTCTCAGTGTATTCCATCAACGCGAACGCAGCGAATATGAGCATGCTCGCACACAAAAACCCGATCTACGAGCCGTCAGTAAGGTCGTCCACGTAGCTTCCGCGACATACATACCACAGCGGCAGTTAACTCCTGGGGTCTAGGGAAGTACCCGGGCTGCTCATACTCTGCAATAGCAAAGATGGCGCTGGCAGCAAGTGCGATCAATGCATATTTGTACTTGGCGAAAGTCGCGATGATCCTGCGATGTTCTTGGCGGATGTTTTCGGGAATGAGGAAATCTACAACTCGTGTTGTGATGCGACGTAGGAAAGGAGATATAGTGGCGGTAGCGGTAGCGGTAGCAGGTATTATCCCTGAATCGGACTTTGGAGTGGCCATCGTTGAGGGTGCGGATGTAGAGGCGGCTGTGCGGGTCGATGTCGCGACTGCCTTGTTCGCCGTCAGTGAGATCATAGGTACTCGAAAAGTCTGTGCGACGCGCTTTCCAATGCGAATTCTTGGGCGTGAAAGTAAGGAAAGCGCACACTGTCCTATCTGGGTAAGGAAAACAAACAAAGAAGACTACGAGCATAGCAAACGCACGTCCGCGCATTGCAGCAAACACCGGGTGAAGAATTGACCTGTCGTCTCCAGGATGATCTACGGCAGGAGCTGCATAACTCCGATGCAACAACTTCTTAACAAGATCAGAAAGCGGTACTGATCGATCCATCGTACTCATATAACATCTACGCATCCCTCAATGAAGATATCAGGAATCTATTCAGGGTATATCGTCAATCTACTGCCTAGTCTTCAAACAGCACTCACTCCTTCGGCTTGAAAACACGATGCCTCGCCAAAAGTTGCGATATCATGAAATGCGAAACGTCCTCGTCGGCCCAATATGTCATGTGACTCGCTATACTAGCCAGGAGCGAAATATCAAAAGCCTGTAGCAATGTCAGAACACATCAGCACATACGATAGAGATGGACATGTTACTTACGCCTTCTTGGATACTGTAATCCACACGACCGTTGCTGTTCAGCGCGCGGACTTTGGCTTCTTCCTTCTTAAGTTTGCGACTTCGGTCTTCTAATTCCTGCCATTCGAGATCTTTCTCCACGTCCCGCTCGCCATCTTCGCTTTGTTGGCTCGCTCTTCGCTTTTGGAAACCAGCAAAAAGGGTTTCGATGTCGCCTTCGATGAGGGTGGGAGGATGTTCGCCGTCTGTGCCCTCGGCAATGGTTTCTTGTCCGAGGCGGCGGCGACGCTCTTCGCTGATGAAGGCACTGGTAGGCTCGTTGAGTCCTGGCACGAGATTGACAGCGCTGTTCGGGGCGGGTGCCGCGGCGGTGAGGGGTCGAGAGGTGCGCTGTCCCTGTGAAATGCTGCCTGCGCCTGTCATCTCTGTTCCTGATATGCCGAGACTGCGGTTGAGGAGTCCACTGGCGATGCCTGGAGTACGTATGTTGTCAGCTTGTAGTTTCTGGTAACGAACAGATCAGGTAGCCAGAGGCGATGTAAACTTACCAGATCCTAAAGAAGTCCAAAAGTCCGTCACACCCTGGCCAACGCGCTGGCCGATACCAGTAAAGCCTTGCGATGCGGGCGCACCAAAGATGCCTTTTTTGGTATAAGGCAGAGGCTGAGCCTTGAGGGCTGACATGGCTGGCGATATCAAAGGCTCGATACGATAACTGATCGGGTCGGTTGGATGGAAGATGTTGAAGACCTGCTTGCATAGAGGCGAGGAAGTTGTGATGTCGAACGCATGCTCGTCTCCACCCTGTGAGAACGGGTCATCAATGGATGTCGCCGGTGTCTTTGGCGGAACGAATCCAGTGGTAGAATTCTGTGGTCTTCCGACAATTGTACGCCCCTTAAGCATCTGGAATAGGCCAATAGGCGATCCAAGAGCATAGAAATCTTCTACCTCAAAGTCCAGCTTCAGGCCCTCCTCGGTGGACCTTCGCTGTTTGGCCGATTGTGTGCTTGGTTTGGCTTTTGGATCTTTTTGGATGCATAAAATATCGAACATGATGGCAGACCCGAGCGAATGTCCAACCAAGCTCACCTTGCCTTTGAAGGAGGGATTGCGCTCCTTGAACAGACGGTAAGTACGGTTTAGCTCATTCACGACGATTCGAGAGATATGGCCCTTGTAGGCGGGACTTTGATACAGCAGGATGTCAAGCGCGAGATCAGTGAGGAAATTGCGGACAGCGGGCACGCCTGTATCGTTAGTATCAGTTCTAGCTCGAGATCATATCACTGAACTCACCTTCAACAGTTATATCTTCGAGATTAGGGTACTCCTCGTCTTCATGGTCGAGGTCACCTAAATCGTGTTCTTTGCGATTGTGCTTCAAGCTTTGCTTAGGGAAGTCCAGCAAGTGTCGCCAAATGATGGGGATGACTTGTATGCGGTTGTTCTTGGTCTCTGATTCCGTTTCCGCATTCAGGGCTTGCAGATCTGGCGAAGCTGAATAAACAGACTTGAGGGACTTGCGCAAAGTGTTGACGTCGTGAATGAAGTTAATGGACTCCATTCGCATTCCGAGGCGTTGTCCGATGCCATGTGTTACCAGAAGCAGATGCTCGATATCACGGTCTTGATCACTGCCATGCTGGGTTTTGTAGTCTTCACGCATCTCTTTCTCCTCACGCTTTCGCATCTCCTCTTCTTGTTGTTGCTCATATTCTGGTTTCGAGGACGTCATCAGAGACGAGACCTGTCGTTCGAGATTGCGCCTGCGCGTTTGGGAAGGCGACATGCTTCGCTCATTTTCCGACGCTTCTCCGTCGGCGTCAGAGTCAGACTGCTTGCCGTGGTCTGAACCATACGCCAGGGCGGGTGTAGCCGGTCGATCCTCCTGTTTTGCGCTTTGAGGGCCCTTCACTGGGGTCGGTTGTTTCTTCTTTTCTTTAGGATCGGTGTACCCTCGGATGTACTTGTACCCAGCATAATGCGCTCCTCCAGCGAAGCGCTGGTACAGGGTACTACCCATGCGCGACCACATGTCATCGGTCAACATCCAGGCTGTCGTCTCGTCTTGATAGGTAACGGTGGAGTTCAGATGTGCGCCGAACAGTCTGTGTGTGCGCGGTAAATCGGCGGGGGCATTGGAGGTCGTAGATGCGTCACCGGGCTTGGAATCGTTCGACTGTTTTGAAGCCTCCTTTTGTAGATTGTCATAAGATGACTTGGGCGTAACTGGATTAGATGTCGAATCGCGATTCAGCTTGGCCAACTCTTTGCGGTGGTCCTCGCCAGCACTTGGTCCCATGGACAGCGGCCGAGCGCGGGGTTGCGAAACAGCTCGCTTCTCTTCTTGCTTCCCGAACTTCCACGGCTTGACTTTCAGGTAGCCCTCCTCAAGCTGCATGGCTAGACCTTCATCGACAGCCTCCCCATCTGGTGTGAACCAGGTCCCTCGCTTCACGTCGTATACAGGACCCAGCCAGTACGATGGCGCCAACTCGCGTGTCTCGATCTCGACATCGAACAGGTAGTCTTCGTTGACGGGCACCTTTGTGGTTTTGGGAGGAGTCGCGCTCGCTTGGGTGGGCGTCGTGGGGCTGACGATGCCCTTTCGTAGTTCGTCGGCATCGGCTTCGTCGGCAGTCTTCTGGAAGGCGGCCTCGATGGCGCGAGAGTCGCTGGCACCGAACGGTATCCACTTCTTGGGTTTGGGCAGGGCGGTGTCTGGGGCCATGGCATGTTTCGAGAGTGGTTTGCGCTTGGGCGTCTGCCAGAGTCAGTGCCGCAACGGAAAGCAGGAGCGCTCTGGATATGACGACAGCTCGAAGGTGTAGATTCGCTACTTACATCTATAGCATGAAACCACCTCACAGCCAGCGGAGGGCAGTCCTTGGGGTACCGCTTGAGACTCAGCCTGTACCTCCGGTCAATCACATGGTCTCCTCCTTGCTGGGGAGCCAGCACTGCCGCGGCTCTATCCTTCTCCTTCTCCTGCTCTGCCTTCTTCGCCTTGTCCGCACCCCCCTCGGCCTTGGATGTCGCTGAGGGGTTGGGAGTGCCGGCACGTGAAGGCCAGGGGGATAGATTGGAGAGGAAGCCCTGCTTGTTATCCGGAGCAGCCATTCTGTCGACTGGAGGGGCGTCGCCGCCAACGCGCAGCTTGCTCAGCCAGGACTTTGTGCTGTGTCGTGAAGCTTGGAAGTGTGGAGCCAGCGGCCTTGGGCGGGGCGATCGGCAAGGCACGCGAAGATGGACGCGTCGAGGAAACGTGTTGGCGTTGGAGACGGACTTAGGAGGATATGGCAGGGAGATACATGTTATACAGTCATCGGGCGGTGGCAGGTGTCAGAAACATGGGATTGCATGGGCTCGCTGGTGTCTTGCATGTGCTTCTGAATTCAGGGCCGCAGCATGGCCGGAGCGGCTAGTTACATCACCGGCAGACGCGCGGGGCAGCCGACTGCTCTTCTACTCGCGTCGCGCGTCGACATCACCACACCGCCAGCCCTCAACACCATGGTCATTCGCACCATACACGATCTGAACGCCCAGCAACAGGCTTCGCCGCAGGCTCTACCTAGGCTCTTTACCGACACAGAGCGCTTTTCTCTCGCTGATGCTGTGCATCTGAAGCTAAAGCTACAAGCTCTCGATCGCGCCATATCAAGCATACGGCCAGATAATCATAGCGGAAATGATATCACCAATATTGACAATGCCTGTAAAACAAACCCATCTGGAGGAACCGTCTACGTCGCTGGCTCGGAGAGGTTCTACCTCGTAGTAAAAGGCCTCAGGGGGCCACGCGCCACTGCCGATGCTTATGCTGAAGCATACAAGAATGTGCTACGAGGCAGGCCCTATGCTAACAAGTACAAGCTATCCGGGTGGGCGGGGCCAATACCCACCTTCTCCGAGATACGTCCTCTACTACGGGATATTGACATTGCCTGTGATACCAACCTCGAAAGCGCCTTTGCCATACTCGAGGAAAGAGGTATGTGCAGAAGGGCACACATACTCTGCCTCGACTGACATGGACTAGCCAAACCCTTTCCCTTTCTTCGACTTCCCGCTGAGCTCCGGCTCCACACGTACTCGTTCGTTCTTCCCCCCGGGCCTCGCATCGTCCTTGACCCTTCACGTCAACACGTCACACGTCCACGCCTCGACATCATGCGAACCAACAGGCAGTTACACAATGAAGTCAGGAAGTTCTTCTACAGGAACCGAAGGATGTTCATCCAAGTAGGACCTGTCCTCATGGACAAAGAGCGCGCAATTGAATATGACGACGCCTTCAAGTGTTTACACATGTCAACTACAATAAACCCGACTACCCTGCAGCTTCTGAAAGAGATGGAATTTGAATTCTACAAACTTCAATGCGGCGAGTGCTATCCCTCAGAGTCGTGGATGAACCCCATGAGCCGCATATATGACACACTCAAGCTTGAGCGTATCCGCATCACCTTTACAAAGCGTGATCGGTACCATTTAACAGCAGCAATGGCTTTGAACCCTGAATTGCTGAAAGTGCAGCGGATCCAATACGAGAAATTGGAGCGCTTTGGCAGGTGGTTCATCAACCAGATTCCGGCGTCCGTGGACGTGTCGTGGTCACGCGAGGACGCAGCAATTTTCTTTAATAGTACTGCTGTGGAGCAGCGTTTGTATCAGGCCATACAAGAAAGAGCATCCCCTGGAACAGGTCAGGTTGTCGCGGTACAGGGACGATTTCAGCATGTCCCATGAAAGGACGGCCTCGGACTTGTCCATGCACAAATGTAAAGCGCGGATGCTCATCTATTCAATGTCCAGCATTTTGAGCGGTATGAGTGTACTGTTGCCTAAATAAAGTGAGTGAAGGTGAAGAAGCAGCCTCTTCTCTCACCTGCACCGCTCTTAGTCCAAAAAGGGATAGTGTCGTTGTCGCCTGACTTCCTGCCTCTTACTATACGTGTACGCTGTCTTGTATTACCCGCTACCACTAACACTACTCCTATCAGGAATCGAAACTACAGCGCGTCTTACTGCAATGGAGAAGACCGCGACGATCAGCGATGACGATTCTACCGGTACTGCTCTTCTATGTGCACACAGCCGTCTCGTACAACTGCCCGTAGAAGTCCTACAGTCCACTGTCCACTATTGCTTGCACTGCAGCCTCCCCAGCATCGCATGTATAAGCCCCGAGCTACGCGCCCGTGTCGAACGACAGCTATATTGCGACGTGGTCCTAGGCTGGAAAAGTAAGATAACGACGCAGCCACGCGATCTATGGCCATTCTACCGAACACTTCAGTCACGATCTGATCTAGCGCGAAGGGTGGAAAGCCTCAACATCGAAGTCGTTGATCGCACGCTTCACGTTGACGTCCCTGCGTCTGGTGTCATCCCACAGGGCCCGCTGTTCCCTTCTACCATACGAGCAGAGCTAGATGAGCTATACATCGCCGGTGCTCTTCCTCTCTACCACATGACTGAGCTGACATCCCTCGACTTATCGATTGTACACGACCATGAATTCAGATATGACGATGGGAGGTTCACGCTCGTTTCCGAGTACCTCAACAAACTATTCTCTGGGTTCGACAGTCTCACAGCACACCTCACGCCATTTCCAGGTCTGCAAAAGCTACGAAGCCTCAAATTCCAAGGCACTGAGTTCCACTGGGTATTCGCCAAGTCCCCGTACTTGGAGCAGATTCATCACACTCGTGCCAGCCAAATTTCGGCAGATGGGGCCTCGTCTGAGGTCAACGCTACGCTTAAGACTCTCGAATTACCAGTACACTCGGCTGTTCTGTATCCCGCTTGCATACACTACGATGCCCTGTCACCCTTTCTCGCACACCTTCCTCGCTTGCGAACCCTACGTATGCCCTTCAATGACGCCGACTATGGATCAGCAGGTTCCTGTATGGATTTCTTTCTCAACAGCAGCACCCAGGGTAGCTACTCTATCTTGCTACAGAAGCTCCAGCCAGTGGCAGCTGTTTTGACTAGATTAGAGCTAGACGTATCTACTCACTGTGGTGAGGTCGACACCTTCTTTCTCGGCTATGTACTGCTGGGAGATGGCTTCCTTGATTTCAAGGCGCTCAAGCATCTTTTGGTACCTTATCAATGCTTGCTTCCGCGAGAGACTCCTCAGTGGTCGCATATTCTGCAACCGGCGAATGAGATACTTCCGCCATCGCTCGAGACCTTGAAGGTTCATCTCCCAGAACATGCATTTCTTGACTGGCTTACCACCTTGTCTTACTATGGAAACAAGCTTTCTGTGCTACAACGCATCGGTATTGCGTGTTCGAGCTGGGTTGGAGCCAGCTACGAAGACCTTGTGTTCATCTCGTATCCACATCCTGCGCTGACCGTTCTTTCCTCGATGAATATCGATTGGAGTATAGACGTCCCAACATGCTGCTGGGACCGGTGGTGGGACGATTATGATTTCCGGACATGGGATGCGGTTGCGTGGATGGATAGGACTTATGGTCCTTCGTATCGTGGTAAGCTTTAGATACGACGACCCTAGGTGAACTTAGCTACTAACGTGTGTCTAGGTACAGTGTTCCATCCTACTCATGGTGACCATTCGGAACTGGTTGCGCCCCCAGTCACCATCGAGGAAGAAGCAAAGAGCGTAGATGCTGCCGATTCTTCTGTCATGCAATACACTGCCTCTGAACTGGACATTTCGTTGGAAGCAACTACTACCCTGCTCCACGATTGGTAGAAGAGGCGTTGGCTCAACTCGATCGATCTTGGACTTCCACTCAAGTAGCGGTGGCGGCTATTGAAAGCATAACAAGGATCGTTGAAGATGCTTTTGCACATGGCTTTAGGCTATTACTCCGAGGGGAGATACTGAGATAACTTGAAAGCATAAACATAGCAACACTATCCCAAACACGACAGTGTGAAGAGTGCATGTGATGTCTCGTGAAACATTTCTTCACAGCCAGTCTTGCGAAAGTCCTCCTCTCAGGTATGTTGTGAGGCGAAGTAATTATGAAATTGCTACCTTCACATTGCGTCGGCGCCAACACGAGAGCTGAGCTGTGTTCTCTCGCCGCTCATACTTTTCTCAAAGCCTTCAAAGTCTACCCCTCGAAGCTCTTCCGATTCTTCCCTCTCCCCACGAAACGCATTGATCAACCAGATCGCTACAACCACAACATTGACGCAAACCATCCATACTCACTAACGTAGCCCAATATATCTACAAATATGGCGTCTCCACACTAATATCCAGAGGCTCTTTCTGAGGAGCTCATGACCTTCGATATATCCACAGCAGCTACGAAGTCCTCAAAGCCAGGCCTAGAAGCTCTACCCGTCGAGCTCATGAAGTTAGTAACTCAAAGTACAGATGCCAAGGGCAAGCCCATTCTTTCCGGCAGCGACCTGTGCAATCTCCGCTCTACAAGCCGTCCTATTCAACAAACAACATTTGATGACTGGGTAAAACACTGTTTTACTACCCGAAAACATATGCTTTCCCACGTCAGTCTACAATGCCTTCTGGGCATCTCCACCAATCCTGTTCGAGAAATTTTGTGCAGGAAGTGGCTATCGGACCTGAATATGTGAACGAAATGCTGGCTCCCTGGTTGCAGCTACAGTGCAGGTCTGGACACGCGGATAAAGACTGGCCCAAGACATATGCGCCAAAGCATGGAAAGCTTGTTGACGAGCAGGAAGAGTTCGATGCCAGCGACGAAGCCGTGGAGATGTTGAAGTGGACACTGCAAGGCTTCCCGAACTTAAAACACGTACGTATTGACTCTTACCCAAAGAAAAGCGACGATGATGCGTGGACTGAAGCCTGGGGATCGAGGAGAATCCTTCGCAACATGGGCTGGGGAGCCTCCGGGAATTGGGCGGATCCTTCATGGGCACTTCGTAATGAAGGAAAGACCTGTCGCCGTAAATTACATGGCCGTTACGCCAAAGTACTCTCAGCGCTGAGAGGTATCGAAGATCGCAAAGACTGGACCCTGGAAGTCGCACTGCATACGATGCGATTGCGCTACGAGGAACGACCGTTCGATAGCTCGAGCTCCGATTGGGCACGTGTTCAACACCGAGTTACACACTTAAAGTTCAATTGAATATTCGAAATCTTTGAGAAGCATTGGATCGTATCGTTGCTGCAGTCCGTTAGCGGTAATCTCAGATCGCTTACGTTGCTCAACGAGACAGTGCCCATGTTCCTTCGATACAATCAATTCCCTGCTCTCACGCACGTCGTCATCCATAATGGTAATATCTCATCACCTCTGTTCAAGAGATTTCTGTTCAAGCACGGAAAGACACTTCAAGGCATCGACCTTCGTGGCTTGAATCTCTGGGGATGGTATGACGACAAAGATGCGTTTGAGCCGTCCGACTTTGAGGATATCGAAGATTCTGATTCTGACGAGGATGAAGTGGGACAATAGGTTATGGAACGAAAGTCGAAGCCGGGACTCGTCGAGCTAAAAGATGGAACCTGGTTTACGATCTTCAAGCAGTTGACGACGTTTCCTTGCCTGACAAGCGTTCGATTCGCCAAACTCCTTCAACTCCAGCCCCAGATCCACAACAATGTACACCAACCCGGCATGTAGAACACTGAAAACGTATCTGAACATTTCACTGGCGGCTTCTCGCTTGCAGCTGAAACAGATGAGGTAGTAACGCGCCTGGGTCGCGCTGTGAAAGAGCGCATCGCCGTTGAAATGTTAGATAGACGTGGGCGCGACAAAGTTTGGTTCTCCGATGGGTGCTCGGAGGACTGGGATGCTTAGACTAGAACGCGGCTGGGAAATGGCGTGAGGCATGCCAAGGCGTGGGATATCCAAGAGACCCATCTCTTGCGTGCTTGTCTGAATCGTGGTAGAAGTGGGGTAAGCCCACTTTTATGCACATGTAGTTGAGTTGAGGCCATTACGGCTGTCAGATGGATGCAAATTTTCCCTGGAGATATGATTGTACATGACGCCAATTGGAGTTATTGTGCGCGCAATGTACCGTATTCTTCCCTGGTGATACTACGACAAAGAGAAGGAGCATGTTACGGTCGTAAAGCGATACGAGAGATCTAGCGTGCGACTAGAACCTTCTGTAATCAAGATGGAAGGTGTGGAGTAAGCGGACCTTGGTGCTTGATGCGCGGCTGCAGAAATGATTGTTGAGTCTCGTGACCCGCGACGGAAAGCTCGGCGCTGCAGTCAAGCCACCGGTGACAGATAAGAGCGACAAGAGGCTGGCTTGGGCCCGTCTCAGTGGGGATATACAGGCGAAATACGCCTTGTCATGTTGGTATCAAGCTTCGCCGTTAGCATGCGGCGTGACGACCTCAGCAGGTTCCACGGAGGTTGCTCGGAAAGGTGTTGGGCGCCTGGGGCGATACGAAGGAATTGATGCTTGGCGGAAGGGTGTCCGTGAAGGTAAGTGGCTTGAGCATCTGTAGTCGATGGCAGAGTGCTTGGAATCTGGCGCAAAATGACGTTGGTGTTGTGGCTTCGGTACGGAAGTCGGCACAATTACGCCTGCGCCGAGAATTTAGCACGGCTAGGCGGATCATAGGCGAGCGGGATGCTTGGCTGGGACCGAACAGCTCGCCACCTTCGTTCTTTCACCCCCGCTCGCAGTGTTGGCGAACGGGTGTTACCAACCCCGCTGTCGTCATGTCCGGCACGATTGGCAGCGCTTTAGCATCGCACTGACTGCTCAATCTTCTCCGCATCATTCGATGATGATGTTGTGCAGTGTGGTAGAGTGCGGGCAGGGCCAGATGTGCCATCCAGTTCATCAAGACGTCTGACAACCAAACGTTTGTGGACATGCATGCATCTCTTTGTTGACGAGTGCCGACCGTTACCGACGATGACGTTCCCTGCACCGGTCCCAAGATAGTCACCATCACGCCAAGCTCTCGATATCGCACGGTTCTTGGCTACCCTCATGGTGTGTGCACCCGCGTGCCAACTTGCTTGTTTAAAGTCTGCCATGTCCCCGGATCTAGATCTTTTGTCTGCATCCCATCTTCTTAGCACCTCAATCACTCACTATGGGCAAGAAGGCACCGTCTCTCGAGGGCCACAAGTCCGGCCAGGCTAACGAGCCTCTCTCCAAACCCGCGCATGCTCTCCCATGGAAGGACGTCGTCACCGAGATCAAATGTAACGATGAAGACGGTCTGACTACTGCGGAAGCAAAGTCGAGGCATGAGAAGTACGGCAACAACGATCTTGGCGACGATGGAGGTGTATCACCGGGCAAGATTCTGCTGAGGCAGGTTGCCAACGCAATGACATTGGTATGTTACCGTCAATGAACACACTGTGCAACAAACACTAACCTATCTCAGATCTTGATCGCTGCAATGGCTGTATCTTTCGCTATTCAATCGTGGATTGAGGGTGGTGTAGTAACCGCCATCATTCTGCTTAACGTTGTCATCGGTTTCGTCCAAGAGTTCAATGCTGAAAAGACAATGGACTCGCTTCGATCGCTCTCTTCGCCAACAGCTACCGCTGCGCGAGACGGAAAGACTGTCACTGTTCCGACCATTGAGGTTGTTCCCGGTGATTTGATTGAGCTAAAGACAGGTGACACTGTCCCGGCTGACATCCGGTACGTTGAATTACGCTAAACTAATTTGTACGTCACTGACTCGCATGCAGTATCATCGAAGCCCTAAACTTTGAAACTGACGAGGCTCTACTTACCGGCGAATCCCTCCCTGTCAACAAGGATGGCGATGCCGTTTTCGATGAGGACACCGGCCCTGGTGACCGCCTCAACGTCGCCTACAGCTCTTCGACCGTTACCAAGGGACGCGCCCGTGGTGTCGTCTTTGCTACTGGAATGTACACCGAAATCGGGTCCATCGCCATGTCTCTTCGACAGAAGGGTTCGCGCGTCCGCGAAGTCAAGCGCAAGCCTGATGGCAAAGCCAAACCCCATCGCTACGCTCAAGCATGGTCTTTGACTGTTGCCGATGCTGTTGGTCACTTCCTTGGTGTCAACGTTGGTACTCCCCTTCAGAAGAAGCTCGCTCGTCTCGCCATCCTCCTTTTCGGTGTCGCCGTCGTCTGCGCAATCATTGTTTTGGCCGCCAACAACTTCTCCAACAACAGCGAGGTCATCATCTACGCCGTAGCCACTGGTCTCAGTATGATTCCCGCCTCCCTAACCGTCGTCTTGACCATCACAATGGCCGCCGGCACAAAGCGCATGGTGCAACGTCACGTCATTGTTCGCAACCTGAAGTCGCTCGAGGCTCTTGGTGGTGTCACTGATATTTGCTCCGACAAGACTGGTACTCTCACACAAGGAAAGATGGTTGCAAAGAAGGCGTGGATCCCTGCAAAGGGCACATACTCCGTTGGCCAGTCCGATGAGCCACACAACCCCACCGTTGGCGCTCTGACATTCAACCCCAAGCAGCCACGCCACATCGACCCTGATGTCGACGAGAAGACAGAGACATGGGAGGAGCTTCTACAGGATAACGAGCATTTGGTCGACTACCTCAAGGTTGCTTCGCTCGCCAACTTGGCTCATGTTCACCAGACTGACGAGGGTCAATGGAACGCACGAGGTGACCCAACTGAAATCGCCATCCAAGTCTTTGCCTCTCGCTTCAAGTGGAACCGTCTCGAACACACCGGTGGTGACTCACCTGCCTGGAAGCAGCTCGCTGAGTTCCCCTTCGACTCCGATGTCAAGAAGATGTCCGTCATCTTTGAGGAAACCGCCAGCTCCAAGAAACACGTATTCACCAAGGGTGCTGTCGAGCGTGTCATCTACTCCTGCACTCGCGTGTTCAACGATGAGAGCGAATCTGGTGTTGACCTTGACGACGACTACCGCGAGGAGATCCTGGCTAACATGGAATCTTTGGCCTCCATGGGTCTACGTGTTTTGGCGCTCGCAAGCAAGGAGTACGACGGCCCCGCACCTGAAAAGGGCGAGGACCTCGACCGTGAGAGCATCGAGAACGGACTGACCTTCCGCGGTCTTGTTGGACTGTACGACCCGCCCCGCCCCGAGACTGCTGGCTCCGTTCGTCAATGCCAGAAGGCTGGTATCGAAGTCCATATGCTCACTGGTGATCACCCTGGTACCGCTCGCGCAATCGCCATCGAAGTCGGTATCGTGCCATCGAACATGAACACTCTTCCCAAGGAAACCGCAGATGCCATGGTCATGACCGCATCCCAATTCGACAAGCTCACCGACGACGAAATCGACGCTCTTCCCCTGCTTCCTCTCGTCATTGCTCGATGCGCCCCGAACACCAAGGTCCGTATGATCGATGCCCTTCACCGACGCAAGGCTTTCACCGGTATGACTGGTGATGGTGTGAACGACTCCCCGTCCCTCAAGCGCTCAGATGTCGGTATCGGTATGGGTACTGGATCCGATGTTGCCAAGGACGCTTCCGACATTGTTTTGACCGATGACAACTTCGCCTCTATCCTGAACGCTATCGAGGAGGGCCGCCGCATGTTCGACAACATCCAAAAGTTTATTCTCCATCTACTCGCTCAGAACATTGCGCAAGCCTGTGTTCTGCTCATTGGTCTCGCATTCAAGGATGAGAGTGGACTCTCAGTATTCCCAGTGTCTCCTGTCGAAGTCATGTGGATTATCATGATTACCTCCTCTCTTCCTGACATGGGTCTCGGTTTCGAGGTCGCTGCACCAGACATTCTCACTCGCCCACCTCAAAATGTAAGTTCACTTCGCGTTGATCGACTCTTTGAATACATGCTAACAGATTGCAGCTCAAGCGTGGTGTCTTCACCGTCGAAGTGATCCTGGACATGTTTGTTTACGGTCTTTGGATTGCCGCTCTCTGTCTGGGCGCGTTCTCCCTGGTCATGTTTGGCTTCGGAGATGGCAACCTCGGAAACGGCTGCAACGAATCGTTTAATGATACTTGCGACACTGTCTTCCGCGCTCGTGCGACTACCTTCGCTTGCCTTACCTGGTTCTCCGTCTTCCTGGCATGGCAAATGTTGGACATGCGACGCTCATTCTTTATGATGCAGCCCAACTCTAAGAAGTACTTTACGCAATGGGCCATTGACGTCTGGCGCAACAAGTTCCTCTTCTTCTCTATCGTTTTCGCTTTCGTCACCATCTTCCCTGTCCTGTATATCCCTGTCATCAACGACACGGTCTTCAGGCACAAGGGTATCAGCTGGGAATGGGCGATTGTCTTCGTCGCTACATTCCTGTTCTTCCTCGGCATCGAGTCGTGGAAGTGGGGCAAGCGTGTGTACTTCAGGAAGCGCGATGCTAAGCACGGCGTTGCTAGGAGAGGCTCCATTGACCTAGAATCACGCGTCTTTGAGCGATACCTTAGTACGGCTATCAGCACCGACGGCGAGGACGGTGAGAAGAAGTCAAGCGCATGAGCAACGATGCAACGCGATGAAGTATGATATCTTTCGAGCAATCTCTTTGAGAGTTCTTAATGTTTAGGCCAGGCTTGGTCCTGGCAAAGGCGTTTGAAGTCGTTTGCATAGCCCGCGATTGCGATACCACATGCCATCATGGCTGCGATCAAAAGGCTTTTCATAGTTACACAGCATGTACATAGTTATTAAGATACCATAACGAATAAAGCAATCAGATCTTACTACCCATTTTCACATTTTCAAATTCGTCTGTGTTCGATAAACAGATCTGGTTAGAGCTTTATGGGTATCGTCGTTGCAGCGGCACAGGACATGCACCTCGACATGAGTCCGCCGCACATCCACACCACCACATACCCAACCACCCAAACTGTAATTCAAACGAACTGCAGTCAGACCATCACGAGACGATTGCGAACACAAGAAGGCCTCGACACGAGTTATGCACCGTCTTCAGGCGTCCTTCCCTGAAAGTTTGTTCGGAGGCTTGCACAACACCCAGCCCGCCCGGCCCACATAATCCCCACAGCCTGCCCACTCCGCCATGCCATGCCAACCCTTTCCGCTCCACTCACACCAAGACCGACACAGTGCGTCTTGTCTAGGCGCCTAGACCGCACCAAGGATTTAGCGTGTTGGTGGAGTACGTCAGCCCAGGGATGCAGCACCAGCAGTAGTCTTGGAAATGGCCTGAGCAGGCCGAAAAAGGTTGAGCCGATGAGCGGCTGGGGAATCGTGAGGCGTGGCGCTTGCGTGATGGTATTGAGGAAGTGCAAGCTAGGGCTCTGTTGGACATGGGAGTACTGAGAGGACAGGTGCAGCGATGTTGGGAACGATTGGGTTTATTGCTTGGTCTTCCTTTTTCCCGTTACCCGTTGCCCTTGTGTTTGCGCTCTACATTATCGTTCGCTACCATCCCCGGTACTACTGACGATGCAAACCAGCGTTCAGCCCAACCAACTCGACCAGTTCACACACGCAACATCCTACAAGTTTATCGGACCGTGATAAGGATGGATAAGCTGCAGCTCGGCGTTTTTCAGCCGTCCACACTGCGAATCTAGACTCCAAGCCAAGCTTCCTTGAGCGTAATCAAGAAGTGGCGAAAAAAGACGTGGCTGTGGAGGCTGAGCGCGTGGGTGCAGGTGTCATAGGAAACGCGACAGCGCTCGGGTAAGTGGGCCTCCGGGGTAAGATGGGGGTACTAACAAGTGTTAAGAAGTGAGCACTACGCACACCTTCCAAGATCAATTGAGTGACTCGAAAAACCCCTCTGTACGGCCGCGGAAAATATCATTCATCACATCGAGTACACGATACGGACGTACGCATACGATAGACGCAAGGACCTGCGATTTGTACGCGCAATCGTCCTCGCTGGTTTTGCCGGTGTACCCGCGCTCTTCTTCCGCCGCTCCCCCGTCATCGCAGATCGCCCACGTTTGGCCTTCCCCGCACCACAGCAAACAAGTGTCGAGGGCGAGACGCATCCCTTCCCCCCAGCTCCCAAGCTTGAGCTGCATTCCCCCACACGCACGTCAGTCGAACCAAGCCAACGCTGCACCCGCATCTCGAAAATTTGGAAACAACAATGCCTGCGGTCTCGAGCCACGGATTTGTTCGCAGTCTGGAAGCGCGGGAATGGCGCGATACTGTTGGGCAGTCTGGGATGACGCCTACGGCGTTTAGTTTTTTGATTCCGGTGTTTGTTGTTGCTATTGTGGCGCCTTTGTAAGTTTTGTTCTGGGGTTTCTTCGACTCTTGTGAGGGATCGAGTCTGTGGGACCGGCATGGACGTGGAAAAAGTTGGGCTAATTGTTCTTGATATAGTCTGTGTATATTCTGCATCCGGAGAAAACGACAGGTTGTCCCTGTCCCAGTGCGCCCACCTCCGAAGGCGAAGAAGCCTGCGCTCAGGCGTGCGGAAGCAAGGGAGAAGTTGAATGAAGTCACCGAGGTGGTGAGTCTTGCTGCGTCATCACCATCACAACATCGTGATGGCGCGGTCGACGACAACGAGGAAACTCTTGGGGTAGTAGAGACACGCTCAGTGCTCGAAAGAGAATGGTAAGTTTAGAAGAACAACCACACCCATCGCGACTTCAGTAACTAACATCCCTCGCAGCGCAATATGTCTCTCAACCCTCCACGCCCCCGCCCCACCCGAACCCGCCAAACTCTCTCCAGAAACACCCATAACCGATGCCGCGGCCCTACCCGCCTCGCTCCCCCAATCTACAGACCCCTCAACAACACCCTCATCCTCCGATCCCACCGACCCAACAACTAGCGCTACCATCACCACCGCAAACCCCACCCCCGACTCCGAAACCATCCTCAAGCTCCTCGTCTGCAGCCACGAATTCCATGCAGACTGCCTCGTCTCCTGGTTCGTCCTCCGCAAGACCAGCTGTCCGATATGCCGCTCCATGTACATGAGTAAGGAAGCGCTGGATCAGCACGACGAGGAAGAAAGGATCGCACTAGGTGGCGATGTAACGCCTGCGGCGTTGGAAGCGGGGACTGCGAATCAGACACCGACGCCCCTGGCTATGAGCAATTGGCAGTACTTTTTGCATGGAAGTGGGTTGAGGAGACAGCAGATTGTTGAGGCACGGACGAATGCTCAGGCTCAGGCACAGGCTCAGCCGGCGGTGGAGTTGCAGGATCGTGCGCCACAGACGGCGGAGCAGGGTGTGGATGGGAGTGGTGCTGCAACTGCAACTCCCGTGGAGACGCCGGTGCAGCAGCCAGAGCAACCGTCTAGGTCGAGGTGGCAGAGACTTTTGAGACGGTAAGCAGGTTACGATACAAGATGGTTATGACGACTTCGACATGTTGAGATGATTTCACGGTCTTTGGCATGGATAGATAGTAGAGCCTGTTTTCCTTTTCGAGATACCCCTGGACGCATTGTGGCGCTTCTGTCACGATTCAATGAATACAATTATGATTATGCTTTTACTCCTCCTGTTGCAATGCTCGAGCTATGCCAACAAGAATGACTCAACAAGAAACCTCGTTTTTGACTCACATCTATGAGTGCGCGAGTGTGTACTCCTTGTTAATCCAGTTCATCTCAAAGTACTGCACTAACCCGTAGACAGTGCGACGATACAAGCAATACCAAAGGATCCCTCTGAACGAAAGAGATTGAGAGACCACGGTATAGCCAACGACAAACATGTTGGTTTCATGTATCAGGAATGGAACCTCCTCAGATTTCCCGATGCTTCTAGTCGAGGCTCTGTCATGCCTATTAATTCACCGCTCAGGATCCAAACCAAAAGTCGTTCTCACTCTGGGTCGCAGGATCGAAGGAGCCGTTACCGGCTGTCACTAGACCCTCGAACTGTCCCCAACTAGCAAAGTCCGACCAGTCGAGCAGATCGAAGGAGAAGGTTGGGTTGGTGGTATTGTTGGTGCTGTTGTTGAACGCCCCTGTTCCGTCGATGTCGATGTTGTTGCTGTTACCGTACAGCAAAGGTGCAAGATTCGGCGCAGACGCGACAGGATCGGGGTTTGGCGCCGACATTGATAGTGGGAGGAGAGAAGTGTCTTGGAAGCTGGCATTGTCGGCTACTGGTGTCGATAGTCTGCCTGACTGGCGTACTGCCTCAGTTCTAAGCTCTTCCAATACGACACAATAACGATGTGCAAGGCAGTCTGTATCACTGACTGTCTCCAGTTGTCTCTGACATTTGACACCAGCCTCGAAATATCCCTCGCATTCTACTTTGGTCTTCACACCCAAGCCCTGCTGAATGCGATGGATGTATAGCACTACCACTGCACAGAAGGCGTAGTACTGGGTAAACCAGAAAGAGCGGAAGAGGTTGGATGCCTTGAAAACGTCGTCCACCGAGCGTACAATGGACATGGCGGCTTCGAGGCAAGCGGTGATATTCGCCGATGCGTCATACGTCGTGCTCAGGCCGGCACTCCAGTTGGGATGGGTGGGCATATGTGTCAAACTCGCAAAGTCTCGCAGTAAGAAGGGTCGGTGGATAAGCAATAGCGCGTGATGGTACGCCAGATTCAGCACCGAACGCTGACGCTGGTAGACTGGTATGAGCAACTGGTTGTCGATACGGTCTATCGAGGTCGAACCGGAGAGGAATCCTGACAGCGAGTTCTTCCACGCGTGTAGTTCTGATGTGTACTTTGAAGACAGCTCGATGCGTAAGGCTAGACTGGGTGGACGAATTGAGTAAAGATCTCGTAGCACGAGAGACACGATGCGTGTCAACTTGATGTGCTCAACTGGCGCTGTCATTAAGGAATAAGTAAGCCGCGAGGGTAGGTTGATATAGTTCGGTTGGAGATCGTTGTCGTTGACGATCGTAGGAAGTTCCTAAACCCGCTGTGTTAGTGGTCGCCAACTTTGATGACGCAATGTACACCTACTTGATCGATATCCTCGTCTTTGAAAGTCCGTGGACGACCTAGAGCAGCTGCGAGGTACTTGTCCAGTGAATATGCCACCCAAAATAGGCGTCTTCGGCTCTCGATCTCTACATAGTCCACCTTGGTCGAAGGATCGCATTTCCTTCCACGATTCAGGCCGATAGCGAAGGCGAGATGCGAGAGCTCGCCGAAGAGACTCCAGCAGTGGTTGATGCGAGATTGCGTCAGGAGGTAGAAACATTGCAGCAGTCGCGCCTGAACGCTCGCTAGTCTTACCGCGCCACGTTCTTGCAATAGTTGGGCTTCGGCTGCGCGAAAGTATCGAGCGCTATTCGATATCAGCAGAGCCTCCAACAACGGCAATATTAACAAACCTGCTAGTCTGCACCGTACTACCAAGTGGCATATACGCTTGCGCTTGCGCAAAGACCACCATCAATAATGCAACTTTTGCTTTGCCATCTTCTTTATTTCTCATCTCACCTTGAGTGTCATAGAACTCCTCGACAAGCTGTTCGATTGTTGGTCGATGTAGAAAGCGATGAGTTGGAGCTGCGTAGTCAAAGTACCGCTCTACAAGTCTCTGTGCATCAGGCTTTGGTGGCGGGACGAAGATGGAAAGATCAAACTCTGGGAGGGGCGCGTCGCCAAAGGTGAAGATGGTAGAGTCATGCGACAAGGAAGAATTCGTGTGCAGACGCTTCTGAATACGGATGAGAAACGATGCTGCACTCGAAGAGCCAACATAGTGACCTTCTTGATCTCTTTGGGCTCCCTGGGGTACTGGAGAATCTCGCGAGGCAGGGCGATTGATCTGGTCGGTAGCAATGCCTAGAGCATTTGATTCGGAGTTGTCGGGATTTGAATAACTCGGTGGGTCGATAGGTGTCAAAGGACTAGGATAGATGCGTGGATATTGTGTTGTCGATATCGCAGTCTCTTCTTTGGCAGACGTTCCTGAGGCTAAGCTCTCTTTCCGCCCTGAGGCTAGTGCATCTGAAGCTATCGCGGGATCGTCGACAATGACAGAAGGCAGTCTTCCTCGAGTATACGACGCAGTAAACTCGCACGGCAACCCGGATCGCAGACAGAGCGCACAAGGGCATCTTCCAGTACATCTAACCTTTTTCCTGTTCTTAGCGTTAGTGCATCCTTAGAATCTATGCAGCACCGCATGTGCGCCCAAATTTCCACAAGCTCACTTCTTACATCGGTCGCAAGCTCTACTGACCCTACTCCTCTCACGCTCCTCTCTCCTTCGCTTTGCAGGTGGTGATCTCGGTTCGTCCGAACTTGCGCTTGCCGGGGTCACAGTCGTGACTGCTTCGATGCCGTTGGCGGGTGTCCATCTAGCAGTCGATACATGCTTCGGCTCCACGTCGGCAGAAGCCGTTCGAGAAGGATTGTTCTCGTTCATGGCTGAAGCTTCGCAGTTCGTCGTCCTTGGCTGCTGTTCAGGTTCAGGAAGTGGAGTCAGAAGTTGAGAGCTCGGATAAGAACATGATGAAGAGCCGGAAAAGCCGCACGCTAAACCCAAAAAGAGGAATCGCGCACGAGGCCTCCCAGTGCCCGCAGAGATATGATGCAACGCGCAGAATGGGCATGGCGAATACTGCTTATCGGTCTATATTCCACTCGTTAATATAAGAAATTGTGCTGTCTATTGTAATTCAACGCAACCTCAGCCATACCTTCTCGTTACATGACTTCTTTACACAAGCCTGTGACGCAACGGCGTCGTACCAGTTTCATAACACTATGTACGCGCCATCCTCATTTTTACATCGATCGACATCGCGGTTCAACATCCTATATTCATGCCAGATCCGTACCCTTAAATCCGTGGTGTTCCCCAAGCCAACACAAACACACCGTGGCCTCTCTTGCCCACTACTCACTCGTAAGCTCTAGGCGCAAACTCAACCCTCAACTCCCTAATCGTATCCCAACAATGCCCCAGCACAACCTTCGCATGTGTCCTCTTCTGCAACCCTTTAATCATCTGATGGCTCCTAACCCACGCATCATGATCTCTCGCCAACCACCCCTGCGGCACCCCGTCCGCAAAGTTCTCCCTGACATGGTACTGATCGCTCGTAAAAATCCACGTCCCACTCTCCTTCAAATTCACCTGCATGATGGTCAATCCGGGCGTGTGTCCAGGCGCATGATGTAAATTAATTCCTGATGCGATTTCAAAGTACGCACCGTGGAAAGAGACCCAGTTTATGTCGAAAGTGAGGTAGTGGGGAAGGTAGACCCCTAGATCGGATTTAGTGGCGACGCTGTAGAAGGCGTGTTTGAGTTCCAGTTCGTGGACGTAGATGGGTACATCTTTCCCTTTGAAATGTTCCAAGCCACCGGAGTGGTCGAGGTGGAGGTGGCCTATTACAACCATCTTCACATCATCAATGTTGTGGCCGGTGAGGGTGATTTGCGCGTCGAGATTCTTGGACGCGTCGTGATCGATGCGCGTGAAGATATCCTGGATTGGAGGGCCGACGTCTTCAGGGTAGTTTTCCCCCGCGCCAGTCTCGTAGAGAATGAGGCCTTCGGTTGGGTGCTGGATTAGGATCCCGAGCATGACAAGTTTGCGGCGCTTGTTGGTCGGGTTTGGAATGGATGATGATGACGCGTTTGCTGCGCGGATGAACCACCCGTCGTCACATTCTAATGTGCCCAGGTGTAGAACCTAATGTTTGTGATGTTAGGATGGTGTAGTTGAAATGAGTGTTGTGCAGTGCTGTACCCATAACTTGGTTCCCTGGGTTTGACTGTTAGATACATGGCATTCTCAGTAATTTTTGATTGCATACGATGGGAGCCTGGTTGATCAGATCCAGAGAAGAAGCCATGACGGATGACCTCCACCCAGACACGTCTGGCGGGGAAAATTCATCTTTATGAACCCTTAAGCCAGCAATCTCTGCATAGGCTTATATCCTGTGCCAATCGCGTGCTGGGGGTCGCAGGTTCCCCAAAGGTCAACATAGAAGCATCGCCAATGATTCGTGACGGGTAGGGAAGCGACGAGGGGTAGCTGGATGGTTGCCCCACGGTTCATGGATAAAGTGGGGCTTCTTTACACAGCCGCACGTTCGTTTAGCATATCTGAGGAAATGAACGGAGTTGGTTGGTTGGGGTTGAGCAGGATGTGCTCGCACTGAGGCCCCGTTGCTGCGGCCGACGCAGATCTGTCTACGAGGACTGCCGTTACCAGGATCACGTATTGTTTACATCATGAGAACGCAATGTCTTGAGTTTGAGTCAGCATACAGACTGAACCAGTGCCCATTATACCATGAAGCCAGGCTGGCATCCACAAATGTGTGCTGGACATTGGCGAGTAAAATGGATACATAGAAAAGGTCAGACGGAGAATTGTCTGGAGTCGAAAGAACAAGTTATTGTGTCTTCGATAGTTAACACGGATGGTGGATGTGAATTGTAATGGTCATGGGGAAGACACTCAGGATTTGGCCAGATGCCGAGATAAATTCAAGGCGTGAGCAACATTGGAAACGCCGGCAAGAGATCTCTTGTGGCTTCAAGCGAGTAGTGTAACATCCTACTGTTGGGCATGTCTTTGGATTGATTTTCTTTCTGAGTCTTCATCGCATCGTATGACACTCCAAGCGTGCTCATGAGTAGCAGTTCGAGAATTGTGACACTATATCGCCGCGTGATAAGGGAGATATTTGAAAGCTGATAAGTGTATGCGCAGGACCATTCATTTACACTCCATAGCCACGGCGCTCTCTAGTCGCATCAAGCGACGTTACTTTATCTACACGACGCGAACTGACGCTTCAGCTCGAGGTGAAAGGAACGTAGCAACACGACATTCATGTCGGACCGTGAGCATGCCGTCCAAGGTCCAAGTTGGAGTACAAATACGCGCGGTATGCTGTGAGACTTGTACATTGGCCGGCCACACTATTGGTGGTTCAGACCGTAGTATAGAAGATGTCAAATCTCAAAGCCACCTTCCTGTTGGAGCCGCTGCGGTGAGACCACCCTTGGCGTGTTGGACGAGAATACACGTTGCGCGTTCGTCAGCGTGGTAAGCACGAGAATGGCGTAATTGCCTGTGCAACTTGAGGCAGGAGCGTGCTCTCGTGCCAGCTCTTTCTGTATTGATGAGGCTCTTGCCAGAGTTGAACCTCAGTCGTACGACAACTGATACAAGATCAGTTCAGCTGGAGAATGACGTTGGGTTGGGTAGTCGCAATCCACTTGGGAACCATGACCGGAAGGTTTATTGACGCGTGGAACAGCGATCGTCGCCGGGTTTTGGATTTTGTGGGGTTTTCAGACGGTTCCATGATTCAGCGCGGGGCGTCCTGCGCTGAAACGTAACCAAAGGATCATCTACGCGTCAAGCGTCCATAGGGGCGACGAGGAAAGCAATCCAATACGTTGGGGCGGTGCGGTGAGTGGAACAAAGAAACATAGAATGTGGTGGTTGAGGCAGTTGCGGGCCGCTCAAGTGAGCAGGCGTCACCCTCCCACCGGGCGCGCTGGGCAATCTCCGGTCGGCAAGAGGTCTGGAGAAGGCATGCGACCCACGACCAGTCGATAGCGACGCCCCTTTTCCCCAGAAAAGTCAGAGCCATGCCAGGGTCCTTTTTTGATCTCGGTGTCGTCGCATACGTCTTTGCTTTTCAATTGCACCATCTACTATAGCATTGACGCTGTCACGTTGCTCAAACATAGCCCGGGAATACCTTCGTCGCTGCACTCTGGACCGCAGTCGCAAGGTGCTGTCTCGCCCCAACCCTTTCATTTCCCCTTCATTTCGCTTTGCAAGCCGCTATTCTCTCCGGGGATCAACTCTATGACCAGGACCAGCCTGCGCCTCACATAATGAGTGATGAGGCTGTGAATCCCTCTGGCCACGCCGCGGTGGAGACGTTCGAGGCCTCGAATCCGTTGTCGCCGGTGCCGTCGAATGTACACAGCATCACGTCAACCAAGGGCCCCGCGTCACGATCATGGCTCAGCGGTGTACGCCGGCCACGCACTTCGCCAGGACCTCGCGCCTTCTCATTGAAGCGCACGCTACTGAGTGTAGATGACGACCGCAGAGACTCGGCCCTTGCACCGTCAAATGGTACTACCAGCAACGAACCACCTTCACCGAGTAGCCTGCGCAAGACGCCCAGTCTGCCTGCTATTGTAGTGCAGGATGAGCGCGCCTCAGGCACTAAAAGCCAGGCGTCACAGCGGCAGTCACTAGACGCGGGCGCAACGTGCGAAGACGACGCCAACTTCTCCGGTATAGACACGTACATCCCCACTGGCAGCTTCGACGACCTCTCCTCGGACGCGCAGATATCCTTTTCGAAGCGGGGCAGCATGATGCTGGGCGGCAAAAAGGCAAACAGACGGAGTAAACAGATGGGCCTCCTTGTGGAAGGCGCGCCTGCACCGAGCACACCACCGCGACAAAAGCAGCGGGCGCAACCCGACGAATCACCCAAACCAGACCCTTCACCACCTGCTCCCGCCACGACGCACCTCTCACCGCGATCCACCTCACGCTACTCGACGCGAACACGATCGGCCAGCCATCGGGTATTATCGTCCGACGAGATGACACTGTCGCGCAAAGTCCGCTGCATGTACATGCATGGCAATGAGAGTGCTGCCAACTGGGATACACCTGAAGCAGAGACGAGCAGTGTTCAGAACAGCTACTTGGGCAACAGCGGCGTTACCAACACTCCGGCTAATGGTTCGTCGGTGGTTACGGAGGGCAACGAGGACACAAGTTCGCTGATCAGCTCACGGCACGGAAGCGTCATTGTCAAAGAGCCTACAGAGGCAGCTGGTGGACTCGAGGACTGGGCGGATCTTGAGGGCGGAGAAGTAGACCGATACGGCTTCATCATACCCAGGAAGACCAAATCGAAATCCAACGGCGATGGTCCCGATGGTCCTGACGAACCCCGCATGCACCGAGTCACAACAACACTACAGCTGCTATCTGAGGAGCCCAGGCGGCGGCGCCTAGGTCGGAGCGCATCAAGAGCACGCTCTGTAGATTCACGTACAGGCTCGCCCAAGCGGCGACTTTCTGGCAAGTCGTCTAGACCCGCCAGGTCCATCTTTTCGGGTCGGACGTCAGACTCGCACAGCAACCATAAACCCTTACGACATGCGACGAACAGGCTACCTCACAACCGAGACCGCAGACTGAGAGATGAGGCGAGCGATATGCTCAAGCTGCCCCCAGGTTTGGCTGAGGTTGCAGAACAGGAAGAAGGAGGAAGAGCTGCCCAGGCGATGAAAGCAAAGGAAATCGAGCGCAACGACAAATGGCGTAAGATGGCCAAGGTTGTCAAAGCGGGGGCAGATAAAGGGGGGATGCTATTCGAGTTCGATACCAAAGACCCCAAAGTTATATCTCGCACCTGGAAGGGCATTCCGGATCGCTGGAGGGCGACTGCATGGTATTCATTTCTCGCTGCCAGCGCCAAAGCCGACGCGAACAGTCCGACGGAAGAGGAGCTGATCGAAAGTTTCTATGAGCTGCAACTGGAAAGTTCTGCAGAGGACGTGCAGATCGATGTAGACGTGCCGCGCACAATCAACAGACATATCATGTTCCGGCGGCGATACCGCGGAGGACAGAGACTACTGTTCCGCGTGCTCCATGCAATGTCACTTTACCTCCCCGAGACGGGCTATGTCCAAGGCATGGCGGCACTTACCGCAACGCTTCTTTGCTATTACGAGGAGGATAGAGCCTTCGTTATGCTAGTGCGGCTGTGGCAGCTCCGAGGCATGGAGAGGCTCTATGAAGCCGGTTTTGAAGGGCTCATGGACGCTCTAGATGACTTCGAGCTGAACTGGCTGCAGGGCGGCGATGTCGCGAAGAAGCTAGTAAGTCACTACTGAAGAGGCTGACGTCCTGGTATACATGCTAACCAAAGTCTTCAATAGACTGACCTTGGCATTACCTCCACCGCGTACGGTACCCGCTGGTACCTGACCCTGTTCAACTATTCGTTACCTTTCCCAGCTCAGCTCCGCGTCTGGGACGTGTTTATGCTACTGGGCGACAAGTCTCATTCCAACTCGCCTAACTCCAAGTTTGGTGGAGACATGGATGTGCTACACGCGACATCGGCTGCGCTCATTGATGCGACGAGAGAAATATTGCTCGACTCTGACTTCGAGAATGCGATGAAGGTGTTGACATCTTGGATCCCCATCAAGGACGAAGAGCTATTGATGCGCGTAGCGAAGGCTGAATACAAGATGCGGAAGAAGCGAGCCAACGCCTAAGCGGTAGGCCGGCGCTTCGGATTCCTGGAACTTGACACCGACCCAACGGAAACGCGCCCGCCAGCCAGCGGCTGCATTGCAAGTTGCAGCAAGGTACACTACCGAACACGGAACCACATCCAAACGAGTACTTCTCCTTCCACACCTTTTCTAGAAGCCCGCAGTCGATCTTCCAAGCTGGTGGCTTGCGATGATTTCCCGCCGGAAACACGGCTACAACGTGGCTAGCACGTTTTTCAAGATTTGCGACATCATCGATGCTTGTTTTTTCCGGCTATTCCAACTACACGTCCAGGTTTTTACCCGCGACATATCACTTCCTGATTACCGATTGGGCGCCCTTTAGCGGTGCAACGTGGACGACACCACCGTCAACGTGGTATGAGGAATGCTTGACTCGCCCACGTTTGGGCCACGTTTCTCCGAAGATGTTTCGGGATCGCGTCCTTCCGCCCGATGGTTGGGTTGTGTGTTGCGATGACCTCTTTTCTTTTGTTCATCTGAGGACAACCTCAGACGGTGGCGCATGCACGGAATGACCCTTTATCAAGATACCTCTTGTTTTTTTTGTTTTTTTGCCTGCATTTTCACCGGTTAAGACATAGGGAGCATCACCGTCACATATATCCAGCACAATTCAGACCAGATGTAGTAATATAATAGATAATCGCTTACCAACATGGATGTATCACCGTTAGAGATCAGACCATACATAGAACATGTTCTCGAATATTGAAAGCTTCTGGAAGGGCAAAAGATTTGCAGACAGAAGATACGCGTTTGTGCAAGATCGCCGTCTAAAGATAAATTCATGACGAAGTGGAAGTGATCATCGCTTGGTTGGCGGTTGACTGACAGCCCGGCGGACGGACTGCGGCGACGGGTAACAGGGAGCGCTGCTGGGTTGATCGGGGTTGTGGCTCCACGCACGGGAGGTAGAGGAATCGGGAAGGTTCACTGGCGATCTTCCAAAGTTGCGGTAACTCCTACAACATTGGCCTAAGCAAGGCATTCGAAAACTTGCAGGTAAAGCGGCGCACGTGATCATAGATCTAGAAGGGCGGCCGAATAAACCTAGTACCTCTCCATCTTGCCAGGCCGGTTATCAAACACGGGAGCCAGAGGAGTGTCTGAGACGTACAAGCACAGGAGTGAGGCACAAGTGTTGTATTCGGGCAATTACTTCAGCCGACGTACAGCCTAATGGTGGAAGAATACACGATCAACACTCGTGCTGGGCGAACAAATATTGACCGCGTACTGTACTCGTCCGGTGTACAATTGTGTATGTTGTGTCGGTAAAAATAACCAAGTGGCCCGGGTAGAGTTGCGTTGGTGCCCGATGGGGCAGTCGCAGATGCCGATTCGGGTGGCAAACTGCCGGAACCTCCTGCCCCGACTAAGATGTTTGCCTCCCACTACGCGTACAACTTTGCCCCCCTCAACTACCGCGCTCTGGTAAGTGGGCGACAGCTTCGACTATCTGCTTCCGTCTCAAGTCGCAGTCGGCTACCCCGAACGCAAGGACAGCATGTCGTCTTCCGTGTACGGGTGCCAGACCCGGTTTGATCAACAAGACCAGCAACTCGACGCTGATCTATGGTCTGATTTTCTTAATGTGAAGCGAGGATCAGCAAGACCTTCCCTCGATCTGGACATCAACCATGTGCAGGTTGCAACAAACTTCCCGCGACTACGCCACTTGCTACAAATGACTGAGGAAAGGCAAGCGATGGCGAGATGCAAGTTTTGTCGGAGGTTTACACCTTGGAGGACTAGCCGGTGAATAGTCATTCACCTCTCGGTACACTAATCGGCTGACTAGCCATGGTTTCAATGGCCTACACAACGGAGACGACTGATCTACCGCAACGCTGCAGCTTACGTGCGTCCAATGCAGCTATCAGCGACTACCCGCCTGACATTGTCTCGTCTGCCGGAAGGCATCGTGATCAAAGGGAGTACGCCGGCTCCTCTTGTCCACTAACTACTGCTGCAGGAGTGCATTAGCAGCTGCTTCGCGGTTAGCTCTTTGTCTCCGAATCTCCGATCAGGACTTGAGGCCATCATCCAACAGAACTAAGGCGCAAACTTGAGTTGAAGTGCGCGTGCTACTTCTGCTTTTATTCATCGCTACTGCAAGCCTCGTCATTTCCACGATTGGAAATGCTTGGCTCTTCTCCCACAGCAGGGACAATATCTGGCGATGCATCTTTGGAGTATGCCGTCATGACAAGACAGAACGCCTGTCCCCTGCTGAAATGTAAACGCTGTTCTCGGTGGTGAACATAACCCCTCTCGCGTTGAGAGTCCACTGGTGTGGTTCCAAGTGCAAGTCCGACCTGTTCAGAGGAAGCTACACGTATTGGGCATCGAAAGCCTGCCGAATTCTATCCGTGTCTTCCTTGAGACAATCGTTCTCGTTGGTCTTGCACACCCGTCTTGACGATGTGCCGTCCAGAAGAAGCAATATCCTCAATAACACGATTACTGAACCCACCTCGACTCCTACATGACCAATCCATCGGTTTCAGGTCGAGGGATTGTCGAATCCATGAGAAAAGCAGAACCTTCCCGCCACAATCGCACCAGAACGATGTTGTATTGACAACAGCAATTTCGCCATGGTGTCCCCATTTCGACTGCTGTTATGATGCTAAGCAGCGCTGGGGTACTTTGATTGGTCCCAGGACTAGTCAGCCGGGGCCGGAAACCATACTCAAAGATCCTTCGTACAGATCCGGTGCGCCGCGAGTTTCACGTAGATCCGCTGCATGAACAAGATAGGTATAGCTTAAGCGCCGACGCGGAAATTTACGTTTCTAGTCGATCGTTCGAGCCAGCACCAGGCGCTCGGGGATTGCGCAACGCCGCGTCTGTTAACCCTTCCCTTCCCAAGGATGGCTTGCGAGCTGTCATCTGCGTGTACATTACGGGCTGTGGTGGGAACGCACCGTCAGTGCTGGCGTGTCGCTAATTACACGGAGAGCAGCGCGCACGCGAGGATCAGCAGATTGGTTGCCTCTTCGCGCATCTCCAGCACCTCCAACTACTCCAAGTGACACTCTTTCGGGTCTTGCGTCGGCTCGATGATCGGTCGTCTTATCGATTGAGCATGCCGTCTGTCACGCTATGTAGATCCGGAGGGGTCCCTCAAGGCTGACAGGTTGAAGTCGGTCCCTTGCTCCGTGCCACTGTGCTTTTCATCAAGGCACCCTCAGCCGTTGACGCTATGACGGCATGTGTATACTTGTTCGGGCATTACACTAAACTGGGAACAGGTTCTGCAACAGGGCCACAGGATGCATTTCCACCAATTCCAAGGTTTCGCGTTGAAGCACGGCGGCTCTTAGAACACGAAAACCTCATTTCACGCTTCCACTTCGGGATATTACATGGCTGAGGTCTGACGATGGTGACGACCCTTCATTTCCTAGCATGCAAGCTGGTCAAGCTAGGTTGAGCCAGTTCACAATCCGGGCAGCGGTAATCTTGGGCTCGCTTCCTCCCGGACGTTTGACCCTGCTGGCTGGTGTTAGCGTACGGCTCAGATTTCCCAGGCCACGCCATCCAGTCCACATGCCTTGAGCCTCGCTCTCAGCCACAGGCACAGATGCCACGAACCTGGCAGCGATGGTGGTCCAGAGCAGAGCTGCACGACAAATTACCGAATGCGTGCTGGATGCCATTTCGCGCAGTCGAGGCATTGTGATCAAATTTGCGGTCATCCGCTGCGGCCTCGCGATCGCGACATCTGAGCGGTCCAGTACGCCCAGAATGGTGCCGAAGTATTCAGGCTCGTCTGTTGTCCTGTACAGCAGAATAAGGCAGTCGCGCTTGGTGTATTTAAGCATGAATCTGTCACTTCTCTGCGTACGGGGGTCATGGGATGCTGGAGGCCAGTGTGGCAGTATCCGCGACGCCAACTCTAAACGTCTAGCCTCAGGCCAATGTATCATCAAACTACCGTCGCTGAGTTCGAGCTGAACTTGCTTGGCTGGCAAACGGGACGTAAGTAGTTTTGCGGCATATACCAGCGCCACAAGTGGGAACCGCTACCAGATTTTGCATGAGCCGGAGGCCTTCTCCAGGCGCGTCACATGGTGGGACTACAAGAACGCGCACTACTACTTCCAACAACATTGCACTTGCTGACAACCATCCCGTTTCATGCATATCCCTGCAAAGGTCCCCTCCCACCTTCGCCTACTCAACGCCACATATCGCCCGTCCTTGACGTACGGCCTGCCGTTTGCTCGTGCTACTCTCAAGCCATTGCGGCCGTCATCCCCGTTGGTTGGTCCAATTCCAGTCGGCCCTCTTCCCTTCTTGTGCACTATTCCCCACCGTTGCCCATTTTCACTTGCCTCTCTCCAATCTGGACTTGATCGACCACGCCGACCCACGCGAGCTTTTACGGGGCTTGATCTTCGTTGCATGCAGCGTCGCTTGTTACTCTTCCATTTGGTCTTTTGTCGCCCTGCTTTAACGACGAATCACATCGGGGCTACTGTGCCAGGGACATATTAAGCCTAGACCCTAGGGCAACGGCTACGATCCTATCCCGGGCCATTTGTGGATGGTGGTCCCGGTAAACGTATTCTGGTGAATAAGTATGTACACTGTTCCTTCTCCTTCCGGACCTACGAATTTTGGCGCCACCCACCGATTCATTTCAATGTTGAATTGCTCCTACGACATCTACCATATCGGCTCCACCTTCCTCCATGTTGCTCACACTCTCTAACCCGGTCAAGTCCGATTTCGAATACAAACCTCATGCCTACTCTCCAGCCTTCTCATCCTCTTCGGCTTCTCGTTACTCAAACAGGCACCACCGTGGGTTATCCCCACCTCCAGAGGCAGTCAACTCCTCTCACACCATGGGCACACCTCATCGAGGACTCCCTCCTCCCTCGGCGATGACGCTGCCAGATCCTGCACGAGGACCTCCGCCAATGTCGTCGTCACTGGGTCAGTTACCTCCAGCACCTTCGCAATGGCAAGGTGCAGAAGATGGGATGAAGAACTGGTTAGCAGCGAAAGCAGAAGAAGAGAGACGTAAGCAAGAGGAGGAGAAGACGAGGCAAGAAACGTTACGACTTGAGCAGCGGAAGGTCGAGCAGTCCATGCTCCGAGAGTCCATGCAGGGTGGAGTGCCGCCTCACCTGGTACCTATCATTTTCGCTGGTATTGGCGGAGGCAACCTTGCGAACATCAGTGCCGAATGGATACAACAGTACACGACCCAGGTTCAAGCTGCCCATCAGCAAGCGCAAGCTCAGGCACAGGCGCAGCTTTCCCCGGATCTTCGAAGAGACCCGAGATTGATCGGACAGCAGCAGCCAGCAGTGTATGCTGGACAGCAGCAACCTGCCCAAGCCATACTCCCTTCGACGTCAGTCCTACCCGGGCAACCATTGCCAACGCAAATTCAGCCTCCTCCGCTTTCCGCCAGTGCTTACACTGGTGGACAAACATCACCGCACTCACGAGCTGTACAAGCCGGTCTTGGTGGTCCTTCTGCAGCAGCTCCACGATCATTACCTCAGTCACAACTTCCGCGATTGACTACCAACGAGATGACGGTTCAACAACCTCCTGCAGCCCCTGCAGGCGTGCAGCAATTACAGCAGACACAGACGCAACAGCAAGAGCAATCTTCCCCCTCGATTTACTTCCATCATTGGGTCCCTCCGTCCTCGGCTTCACAAGAAAAGAGTGCTAGTGGGAACCCGCCAGCTACGCCATCAGGTAAATACAAAACTTCGCCTGTTCACCAGTCACGGCAACGTGCTGCGTCGCATGCGTCTGACCTAGAATACACCAGCTCCCCCAAAAAGCGCAAGGCTCAAGGCCCTCACCCCCCTCCACCGCCGCCTACATCGGCGCCAGGATCATACACATCGCCATCCTTCTCGCACATATCGTCGTCATCGACATCGACACCTGGACGAAGAGGACACGCTCGAAATCGATCAGATGCATCCACGCGAGCGGCGGAAGGCTCCAGTGGTTCCTTGAGCCGACGAGGCACTATTTCGGGGCTTGCGCACGAGACAATCGTGCGGCAAGGCGATATAGCAGAAGAAGCAAGGGACGCAGACGACAGGGCACAGTCCAAATCGGATCAGACATATGCAACACAGCCTCAGCGAAATGAAGCTCGCGGTCAGAGCCAGCAAAACTACGCGCCGGCCTCAACATCTGCTCAACCTGAAACGCCAAATCACGCGACAAGTCAGCAATGGAATCGAGGTTATACGTCATCACCCAAGAGAGAAGCGGGTGACCATTAGATTGGGACGCGATTGCAGCATCGTAACTGCACGAATCCGGATTGGTGGCTATTGCGATCGCTATCGGTCCTTCGATAAGCTCACATCTTTTACAATTCAACCGAGCGAACGCGAAAGCGAGTATCAAGACGTTAGCACGGCAATCGGGCATCAAGCAAGAGACCTCGCCGCTTACTAACGAAGACAAGAGAAGGTGCGATTATCTGCAGCAGTTGCAAGCGAAATGAGACAAAGAACATCAGAACATCCAGACCTCAAATTCCGGCCTTTCCACTTCATCTCAAAATCTTAGTGCACGGTCCCGCAACCCCACCCAAGGAACCCTCTTCCCTCATCTCATGAAATTGCATCGCAATGTCGCGGTTCGCAGGCTGCATACACACGCCACGCATTCGACCCAGTCTTTTTCCTTTGCTCGCACAGAACGCGGCCTCGCCCGAGATGACAGCAAAACATGTTGTTGTCATCGCGAACAACGGAGGTTATTTCCGGATCCTGCCGTTCATCCCATTTGAGGAAGGCTCCGATCTACTTTACAGGCTGCATATCTAGGCCTTTTCCTTTTTTGCAATCGAAGACATGCTGGTTATATCTGGCGTTTTATCGCGGCGCATCGGCACCCAGTCGAGTCTTAGCACGACTTCAACATTTTCCTTTCGTTGGCATGGCCGAAGAGGATACTGCAGCTAGGGTTGCTGCTATCAGACGGCGGCCTGTTCTGCATACGCCGCTTCCCCGCCTCCCGGCTGCATCGTCTATCTTGATCTTGGTGCCTCTGGTCAGCAGCAGCAGCCGCCGCCACCACGTCTTGGTTACTCGCCATGCGCTTGCGAACCCCGCACGTTGCGAAACATGCGACGTTTGGTACTCTGGATGCATCTCGTAACGGCTACAGTACGGGCATTATTCCCATTCTCGCTGGTCGGTCACTGTCCTGCGCGGCTTACCTTTGCGAGCTCGACTTGGGTTGCTATACTTGGTTTGCATCTAGTTCTTTTCTTGGCCACGGCTCTTAACAGGTATTGTTAAGCGCCGACTCCACGCCTATTCTTGCGCAGCGGATTGCATAACTTCATACGAACGGCTTGGTCCGAACATTGTATCGCACTTTCTCGTATTATACCCGGTGTTCTCTTCAATATTCGCTTCGGAGTAAGCTTCCTGTTGCAGTACTCTGGAGACTTGTTTTCCTCCGAGTTGGACACTGGGGCTCGTGTTACAATTGACCGGCATTTTAGTCGGGTCTTTCTTGGCAGGTACGCTATCGAGTTGGGACCGTTTATGGTATCAGGCATACCATCAAGTATCTTTCGATATTGCGTCAACAACCAGATCGCAGGATTGCGATACGCTACAAATACGCCGTATACGGTGACCTATCTGTTCGCAGACTACACAACACCCCTTTCCTTTGTCCAGTATCATCATCACGAAATACTACCTTTGGGTTTCTCTGTTGGCTATCAGAATGTTCACGTATACCCCTGTTCACCCGTTTTTAGATGGGCCATTCCTTTCGGCATCTCAGTCGGCTTTACATTCGGCATTGCTCCCTAGTTGACTCTATTGGCAAACTATCGTTCTTTCTATTCTCAGACCTGTACATACTTTTTAGGAGGCGGCGACTTTGCATTATGGAGTATCTTCGGTGGCGGAGGGAGGGGGACGGGGGAGGCTAGACAGCATGGGTTAGATGGCAATCGAGCAGGTAGCCTTGCGGCGCGCTTGCGGCAAGGCCGTTGTATCGGGGCGTTATTTGTATACAAAAGATCGCCGTTAGACATGGTGTCGGATGTCTACTGCCCCGTATTTAGTGCACTTGGCGGGTGATCGCCTACGTCTTTCCCTATCCAGTAGCGAGGCCTACTCCAACCAATATCACCCTGTCTGAATGCACACTTTACACCCCTCTTGCTCCGTGTTCTTTTCTTTTCTCATTATTGGACTTGACTATGTATGCAGGAGTACAAGAGCGGTGAGAAGAGCGCCTTGCAGCGTTGGGCGTTTCACCTTTGGCCTTGCAGTAGTGGTATGATTGGGAGATGTCGAACGTGTTGGTCTTTGCGGATGATCGGTCGGGATGTGGAGGCACTTTGGCCACGTAAGGTTATGCATACGGATGTGCCGATGAAGTTGTGTAACTGTCTGTTTCCTTCTGCTCGCACAGGGCGACTGGATGTTGTTTGGGGAAAGAGAAGCGTGCTTTGTAAACTTTGTTGGCGAATTGGGATGTCGGCAGTGGCGGTGTGAAGACTTGGATTCTACTGCCAATCGGGTCGCTTAGGTTGAATGTGTAAGTCTTGGAAGTAAGATGCTTTTCCATCATTGACCGGCACTTCAACGCAGGTATCGAGGCCCTATTATGGCTTTGCCGAAACGCTCAAATGCTCCATGCCTCAACAATGGTGTGCTCTTCGCCTAGCAACTTCGATACCTAGGTATCTAAGCAAAAGAAAAACACACCTTCAACTCATCGTATAACGTAATACACCACTGCAGTAGTTAAGCAAACTGTAGTTGAACGTGTGTGAGAACGACAACACCTCTCAGGTAATTCGATAAAGGATCTGAGTTAACCGATTTGAACTAGGAGATGATTCTTTGCAGTAAGATAGGTAGTTGTGACTACGCCAATGACGAAACTCTCGATAAGTTCACCTCCCACAAAGGTAGATGTCCGTGGAGTAAAGATGCCGTTTTGCAGCCACAACGAAATGCTTCTGCGGCGGGTTAGCACAAATCAGCCACAGCCTTTGCCCCGCCTCGTGGCGCATGCATGGACCCCACTAACAATGGTCCGTGGTTCGCCGTCACTGCAGCCTGACGGTTCCGCCCAAGCAAACTCACAACCACATTGCTGCCTATAACCCTTTGCGCCGTCGCGTCCTCCAACCTACACGCACATTCGCATACTAAGCTCGCGTGCCCTCCTCCCAGCTCTTCATACCGCCGGCGCAGCTTCACGAAGCTTGCCACAGCTACATCCGCTACACCGAGTCGACCGTTGAAGCGCGAATAAGAGAAGAGTAGACAAGATGCAAATCAAGTACGTTGCATGAACTCTGTAATACGGCTAGAAGGCGGTTTAATAAGGCAAAGTGGCTAACAAGGCGACAGAGTACGAACCCTCACCGGCAAGGAGATCGAGCTCGACATCGAGGCAGACTACAAGGTACGCCTACCCGAGTTTGTCGCCGCGTAACCATACCATTTCGACTTCCCATGAGCTAAGGGCTCAGGAGTGATGCGGGGCGAATCATAGGGCGAGAAGCTGACGGCATACAGGTCTCAAGGATAAAGGAGCGCGTCGAGGAGAAGGAGGGCATCCCGCCAGCGCAACAACGTCTCATCTACGGAGGAAAGCAGATGTATGTCCCTCTCCATTCGTTCATACTTCGCCTTTTGCGCATCCTAGGCATTTGCTTGAGCACATATTCTTCGTCAAACCAAGCTAACATGAATATTCCTAGGAACGACGAGAAGACCGCACAGGACTACCAACTCGAGGGCGGTGCCACACTGCATTTGGTACTTGCTCTTCGTGGTGGATTTTAGCTTTTCTTCCTTTCCCGAACCTACTCCACTTTCGCTCGCACCGACCGATCCGTACCCCATGGCATACCCCAGGATAGGCGTGTGCTAACTTTACTGTCGCACGTCTTCAATGATCAGCTCACTGTAGCGCGCGTGGCACCAGGGGGATATTTGAATATCAGAGGGATGACTGAGGAGCATGGATATCTGGTGCCTAGGTGTTGGAGTTTGTAGAGAGGTTGCTCGACACGCAACGATGATACTGGGCATGTGACTTGGGCTAGGATATTGGAAGACTTGCATCTGGTAGCAATGCGGAATTCTTTTCTTGCACAATCATGCGCTACATCGTGCCTTCTTCGAGCATTCTTATATCTCTTCAGCAATGTTATAGATTGCGCACGCACCCCGACTGATCTACGATCACGTCTTGCGCCCTGGATAGTTCATGCAACATGTTTACCATGTTCCTCCCAGGGAGACCTCGAAGGTTCTGATGTCGCTCCAGGAAAGTCTAGCTAACTACCGAAAATTACGTACTGCATCTGAACACGACGGCAAATTCGTCCGTCTCGAAGGACCGATTCATGAACTATACTATGGCCCTGGAGACCGTGGAAGCTGTAGTACAAATTGCGGAAAAACGTTCTTGTTATCTGTAGGGCGCAACCGCGCGTAACTGCATAAAGATTGCCCCGCAGGAACACCGCCAGTAATGGCCAAGTACAAACGCGCGTTCTTCGCAAAAGAGCGCTCCCGGCTCCCGCATGAAGACTGTATTGTTGCCTAGCTCCAAGTACCCACTCCGCAGACGTTACAAAGCTCAATTCATTCACCACTTCTACATCGAGTTCTTGAAACTACTCACTGTCTATCATAAGTCCTACTCCGTGGTAGATCAGAGCTCAAGAGGTTCAATACACTGTTATATCTACGAGAAGGAATCTGGGACAAGATAAAGCGAGATGGCGCCTCTCGACGACACCACGCCAGACAACCGGTTCGACAGTTTCAACGTTTTCAGGACGTCGTACAAGCAAGTTGACTACCATGATATCGAGGTTGGCATCCTTGTGCCTAAAGACATAAAGCCAGGAAAATGTCCAGTCATGGTCAAATTTCACGGTGGTGGTCTGGTATGTTGATTCTTGTTGTTCGTTGGACACATGTGGGAGAAACGAACAGAATGGGCTAACTTCACATCACAGATCTCGGGAGACTGCCTCTACGCGGACTGGATAGGCGCATTCTTCATTCCCTGGGTTCACCGCACCAACGCCATCGTCGTGCTGCCCAATTACCGTCTCATCCCCGAACACAGCGGCGCCGATATCCTCGAAGACCTAAGCGACTTCTGGAAATGGTTCAACGCAGGCGCCGTCGATAAATTCCTCAACTCCCAGCCGACAATCAAGGACAGCGGCATTAGTCTAGATTACGGGCAGACTCTGGTAACAGGCGATTCGGCAGGCGGCTACATGGCCTTGATGTCTGCACTCACACAACCTCGCGACAGCTTCAAGGCTGTTTTCGCGCAGTATCCCATGACGAACTATCTGCGTTGCGAAAAGGTAGATATGTTCTTTGGTTACCCTGCTCCGCCTGAATCTATCATCGCCCAGCATCTCGCGGCCGTCAAGCCAGGTGCTATCGTAACTTCGGGAACCCAGCCGGAGAGAATGGGATTGAGCTATGCTTTGGCAGCGTACGGGCATTATCTCACATACTTCGGGTCTGACGAGAAGATGTGGCCGATTGCGCTTGTGGAGGAGAAGAAGTGGCTGCCGCCGACGTGGATTGTGCATGGTGATGCGGATTCGGCGGTTAGTGTGGAGGATAGTAAGAAGTTTGTAGAGAAATGTAAGGGTTTAGAGGAGGGTGTGGAGGTTAGGCTGGAGGTTCGGTCTGGGCAGGAACATGGCTTTGATATCGCAGCCAAGGAGGATGAGGAGGCGTGGCTCAAAGAGGGCTTGGCGTGGGTGGATGAGAAGTGGTTGCGCTCATGATGTTGGTATTCGTGCCTACCTTGGTATGATCGGCTCATTTCTCAATTCCTGGCACATGAACCTAACCTTTGTAGTTATTGAAAAACAAATATAGCACAGGAAATGATTGATGCAGCATGTTCTACACGAACTAAGCTATGCGGTGATGGACTTTCGCGGATGCGCTGCACGAATAATGTGCACTACCCAGCTACAGAGTACAGCCTGCCCCCCAGGTGCCGCTAGTAACACGATGCGGCACAGCAAACAAAGATGTCACGCGGACCGTATCGTTCATAGGGTACATCAAACAAGAATAACGCGAAAGCAACTCTGCTTCTCCTCGCAACACTGATTACTCCAAGATCTTTTTCAACTCTGATATCGCGTCGATTTGACCAGCTTTGGAAAGTACCTCGGTAGCGGGGATGACGTCGTATGCCCCGTGCGCAACCTGTCAAAGCCTGCTGGTAAGACCCCACGAATCCATTCTCGACAAGACTCCGGCTTATTACACCCGCCACATCCTGGTCGCCACAGCCACGGAATGTCCTCTCTGCTTTTGGATCCTGAAATGGCTCGACTCTTTTAGCAAAGAATCCAAAGCAGAAGCCGCTGAAACTGGTCAAGTACGCGCAATCCTACACCCAGGGGAATGTGAGGAAGAAGAAGATGACTTCGATCAAACGAACCCCGAAGACTCCGGCACGCTAAGAGTCGCCGTCGAACTTTGGTCACACCAGTCAACCGAATGTGTGGCATCGTTTGTCTTACTCCTACGAGGTCTCATCAAAGGTTCAAACGGTTACGAGGCAGTAACAAAGTACTGTAACGATCTTTTCCGCAGAATACGTATACCTGCTAGCGCAAAACAAGTAGCAACAACCACGCGCGATCCAGAATGTTGGATGCAAGTACGGGCTTGGCTGCGCGAATGCATGGACAACCACACGTTGTGTCGCCGTCGTCTTGTCCTCCCGGGTTGTGAGCGTACGGCATGTTTCAACCCGACTCGTCTAATAGACATTCGAAATGCCAATAGCCAATTCCTCGTCGAAACTAGGGAATGGAACCCCCCTGAATCGGCTCGATACGTTACACTTAGTCATCGATGGACAGCATGCCAGATGCCAAAGCTAACCCGCTCTAACATCGCGGAGCTAATGTCGAATATCAATGCGAACAAACTCCCTCTAGTGTTCAAAGACGCAATAGAGATAGCACGATCTCTGGAAGCACCATATCTATGGATTGATGCTTTATGCATTATCCAGAATGACGCGGAAGATTGGGACAAAGAAGCAGCATTGATGGGCCAGGTTTACAGCAACGCATTCTGTAACCTAGGAGCTTCCGCGGCCGCCGAAAGATCAGGAGGTCTGTATATTGACCGAGACCCTCGGCAGGTCTCCCTGTGTCGGCTTCGGGCGCAGCGCAAAGAGTTCAATAGGACGTACGGATCGTACTTGGAGCCGAATTCTGTCATGTCGGCTCGTGTTCTATTGAGCCGTGGTTGGGTACTTCAGGAGCGCCTTCTAAGTCCCCGGTCGATCTATTACGATGACAAGCTGCACTGGGAGTGCTCCGAACTTCACGCTTGCGAAACGTTCCCACACGGCGGACCAATTCTGGGTGGATTGAATCCCTGGGGCAAAGATGGCTTCCCGTTTCGTGCCGCAAATCTTCTGTACGATGATATGAAATACAAAGAGTTTGACATCTACAGGTTTCAGAGGTGCTCGCCTGAGGTTGCTCGAATTCGAGAAATTTACAGGAAATGGCTTTGCGTTGCGGAGTACTTTTCGAATTGCCAGCTCACCTTTGAAGAAGATCGCTTTCCTGCACTCATGGGACTTGCAAAATACTGGCAAGTCATTACCAACGATGAATATGTGGCTGGAATATGGAGACGCGACCTTTTATACGGTCTTCTGTGGTACCAGAAGAACCCTACTCATGAGAAACCTCAGCCAAAGGACTATCGTGGTAAGTACATCCAATCATCTAAGAAACATACTCATATCTAATGTTCATCAAGCCCCTTCCTGGTCATGGGCATCCGTGAATTCCGCAGTGTGGTTCCCACTCATTCACGCGTCCAACATCGCGTGGGGAGATGAGGAAGATTTCTGGGCAGCAAAGGTTGTAGAAGTGGTCGCGCATCCGAGCGGCACAGATCCAATGGGTAGACTATCGGGCGCCAAACTCCGTGTCACGGCACCCATACGACGACTCAAGCAACCTTTGGACCTCTCCAAAGACACTTACGAGCCATTGCATCTCCATCACCTGGACGAATGCGCACACAGAGACGGATATTGCGCCAACAGGACAATCTTGCTGCTACTCACATATAGAGTTAAGCCTCTCTATGGAACTCATGAGATCTTAAGACTGACGGGTCTAATTCTTGAACGCGTCGCTGGTAAAAGTGTTTTTAAGCGAATTGGAATGTTCGAACACGGATGGTTTCAGCATCGTCTCCCCAACGGCGAGTGGCCTCTTTTCATCGACTGGGACCCTCTTCGCGAAAAGAAGACCACAATGACCATCATATGAGGGGTCATGCTTCGCTCATGCAACGCAAAACACGGATACATCTGCGGTATTCGCGTCGCATGTTTCAATTCAAAGCAAGCTCAATCTTACTCATTTCATCTCCAATATAAGAACCCAGCAAATTTAGAAGCTGAACTCTTGTGCGGAGAAGGATCCTACACTAAGCATGTTTACCAAAGAACTAAACATTATAGCGCCTATTTACATACCTTAAATCCTCTTCCGCTGTGCTAACGAACCACCAAATGATAAAAACATGCGAAAGGAAGAGGACTAGAATTAATCTTTTGATTTCCTACATATGTTGCATCGTTTATGACCACATTCGGGACACGTCGTACCCAGACCCTCTTTAATAAAACCTGCTTTGCAATCACAGCAGTAGTATTTAACCGTGACTATGCTGCCGCTTTGCATTTCCTTGGCTTGATCTGAATGCTTACCTTCTTGTTTCTGGCTATTAGAAGCCATTCGGTCGTCTGCGAAGTGAAAGCAGGGCGAAGGGGGTGCGCTCAGATGTGGTGAGAGTGAAGGATATTGTACGGTAAATCGACGTGGTATAGTAGGTAGTTTAAGATGGTATAGTGATTTGAGATGGTAGAGTAAGTTGAGATGGTATGTATATCGAGTTGAGATATGTTATCGATGCCAACCTAGTGGTATTCGTCGTGGAGTATAGAGAACATCGTTGAGTGCGAGCGATAGATCTTTATAATGCCTACAACACAGTCACAGTCGTCAATCTTCTATGAGTCGAAGTATTGATATGACTACAATGGTAGTCACGGTCGTCACTCTTCAACAAGTCGAGGTACTGCGATGACTACATTGTAATCACAAGAGTCAATCTTCAAGGCGTCGACGTGTTGTCGGCATCAAAGTCACCTATAACCCACACGATATTACTCACAGAATACATTGAGTACCTCCCCGCGTCACCATGCAATCGCGTACATCACTCACTTCTTCTTCGAACCCCTTCCGCCCCTCGCACTCTTCTTCTTTCCTTTCGCGATATCTGCACCGCGGCGACCACCAGCAATCATGACCCGCACTTTACTAACAGGCACGACGCCCACCACCTCCGTCTCTTTCCAACCTCTTATCATCTCAATCTCCTTGGGCCAAATACGCTCTACATCCTGACTGGTCTTGTCTAGCGCCTTGGCGTCCTTTCCGGCGTGGTCCCAGATGGCAAGAACCTCTTTCACTGCTTTACCGCGCTTGGTGGAGCCGGGCTGAATCTTGGCTTTGTATTTATAGGTGGAAAGGGCTGACCAAGGTGCGCATACGGGGATGGCGGTGAGGAGTTCGTCGTTGGGTAGGGGACGGCCTGTGAATGCGTCAAGGTTCTGCAGGTTTGTCTTGAGGACTTCGTCGCCTTCGTCGTCGTCTTCTGCGTTCTCTAGGGCGCGTAGGCGGGCTTCTTCGGCTGCTTTGCCTGCTGCTTGGGCGCGGAGATGCTGGTCCCGACGCCGTTGCTTATCAGCTTGTGCTTGCTCTTCCTTCTGACGCTTCTCTTGAGCAGCCGCTTCGGCAGCCTGTTGCCCGGATTTGGAACCCAGTAGGCGCATTGCTAATTCACGGTCTTCTTCATCTTGTGCGGCATACTTTGCGGCCTGCTTCTTTGCTTTCGCGCGCTTGCCTCGAGGTAGCGGGGTGTTCTTTGGCTTCGTGTTTTGCGTCGTCACTGTGCCGGGTGCTTTCGGCGGAATCTTTGCGCTACCGTCTTCTGCTGATGAGTTCTCCTCTTCATCAGCATCATCAGCTGTAGGCTTTGCGTCAGACGGGACCTGAGGCAAGTCTTGTAGTTGGCCCTTCCTTGCAAGGCGACGTTCTCTGGCAGACAACTGTCGTTTCCCAGTGGACTTCGGTGCCCGCTCAGTATCTGCTACAGAGCCTGCATCTTCTTGAGGCTCTTCGTTCATAGCGGAACCATTTCTGCCACCAGACATAGCATATCCGTCGTCATCCTTAGTAGCTGCCGGCTCGTCTTCATCGTCGGAGTCGTCCTTAGCGTCTGTTGTTCTGGACTGGAGAGGATTGCTCCTGGGTGCCGCAGCCTCAGATTCGGCATCGCTCTCTTCAGTCTGCTCCATCTTGGCATCAGGGAAGTCGTCTTCTGAATCTGAATCGATCTTCGCGTCTGGGAAGTCCTCATCGTCATCGCTGTTGTCGGTCTTTGACGCCTCTGCAGTCTTCGATTCGTCTGCTGGTTCATTGTCCATCTCCGCGGCAGACACCGCAGTATCTTGCAAACGATGTTTGTGGTGGTTGGCCTTACTTGAATCGCTGATCTCAAACATAACAGCAAGACCGACGACCAGCTGAGCTGGTGGTAGGAATTCCTTCTTGCCCTTGACATTGAACATGCCAGCCGGAAGAAACTCCCCAGTCTGTCCCGTTTTGCTGACTTGATCGCTGCGAACCCACCAAGCTGACATGACTGCCTTTGAGTCCCATGCCTCAGATGAACAAATGCAGAGGTTGCCTGCTTGCGAGAGTGTTGACGGAGGGATGGGAGCATCAGGCGTATCGGGTTTATTCTTGATGATCATTGGCATCGCTCCTTTGATGTCGGCATGAACGTATACGTCTCCCTTGCGTAGAAAACGTCGGTAGATAATCTCGTTCTGCTGGGCATCTTTACCTCCAAGGACCAAATAGCCATCTGAGGAAATGAAGTATATGAACTTCTCAAACCACTGCTGCTTGCGCACTGGTCGCAACACCTCCTTTTCTTGCTTCAAACCCTTCTTCAGGTCCTCGTTTACCTTCTTTTCGTGACTCTTCAACGCCTTGGTTGATGCTTGCAGTGTGCGGTCTTCTTTGTCGGCGGCTGTCTTTTTTTGGTCAAAGTACTCGGTTGAGTTCGCCCAAGCGGTCAAAGCGAGGTCGATATCGATAGCCAATTGAGGCCGAGCGGATACGGCTGGGGTGGGGGCTTTCTTCTTAGGAGCCTCGTCTTCATCGTCGGTATCTTCACTGACAGAACTTGTCTCGTTGCCCTCATCTTCTTCCTCTCCTCCTTCTTCCCAGTTGGTCTCATCCAGCAGTAGCGTGACAGTATTTTCATGCAGCTTCAGCGGTAGTTTGATGAGCTGTGCAACTGCGTTTCCAGAGTTCTGTTCACGCTCGATCAAACGTGCGATATCAACCCAGTCCATGCCTTGTCTGATCAGCCCATTGACGGCTTCGGTAGCTTCTGTAACACGATGTACGTTTGCCAATATCGCTTCTGCCTTGCGGAAGTTGAGATCTTGCACTTGCTGCAATCCACCTATTCGGTCTTCATGCTCCTTGCGCGCCTTTTCTAGCTTCTTCTTGGCCTGTTGTTCGCGCTCGGTCAACTTTGACTCCAGCTTCTGTCCTTCTATCGAGGAAAAGAACTCATCAACGGCTTTGTTGAATCCGTCAAACTCCAGGAAGGTGTAGTCCGAATTTTCGAATTGCGCTGGACGGAAAGGATGGAAGTCGTCGTAGAGGACTCTCGATTTCTCGGAGGCTTCGTCATCGGCCGGAGGTGCGGAGGGGTTTGGCTTGGCAAGGATGAATCCCTTGATCTGATCTGTTGTGGTAATCTCGTCCGTGATTTTTCTTGCGTTCTGAAGCACCAGCACAAGCTTTTCCAGAAGAGTGTCGTCAGCGAGTACTTCCTCCGGCTTGAGAGTCGAATCGAAGTTCGCGATGTGCAGCGCATGGTCTACCAGCAGAGGGGGGCATTCCGTGATGGAAACGGCGAGTGCCTTCCTCAACGAATCCTTTCCTGCCTTCTTAGCCTTCTTCCCTGTCGCCGCAGGCTGGTCCTGTTGTTTATCTACCGCCTTCTGTAATCCCTGACGCACTCGATCTTTGGTAAGCTCTGGGGCGCCACCATAGTTCTGTCGCAGGGTAAGGTTGTACTTCAGACCAACCCTGAGCCTCTCGTGTTCCTCGCCTTCGTCCACATTTCGCAATAAAGACAAGACATTCAGGTCCGCATCTGTCAGAACAATGTTGCCGCCAGCATAGAACTCCAAGTACAGCCTGTATAATCCATCGGAGAACTGGAACTCGAGGATGCGGTCGGTGCCGATCTGGGTAATGGACGTGATTCGCCTAGTCTTCAGGTATTTGCGCAGCTTTGCGACAAAGCCAGAAGGCGCAGCGGCCGTAGTTCGCGCATATTCGGTAAGGTGGCAGCGGAAGCCGGAATCGATGAGGAGCTGTTCGCGGTGATCGGGCTTGTGGAACTTGATGAGGAAGATTCGCTATCTAGGTCAGCAACCAATTGTAGGATGTGTTGGTGGGAAGCTGGTCGACGCATACAGAGCTCAAGTCATAGACATTCGTGACTCGCAGTGAGGTGAGTTTCGCGGAGAGCTCGTGAGCTATGACCTGATGATAGTTAGCAATACAATTACATTGTGACAACTTGGAAGTGCTCACCTTGACGTCTAAGCTGGAAAACCTCTGCTTCATGGTGGTGTCGTGTGCAGAGTCTGTGTTAGTGGGGTCGGCGATTGATGGTGGGCTGCGGCGATGACGAAGGTGTGCGAGTAGCGCGATTACAAGGGTCATGGGAAAATGGATGCAGCTGTGGTTCCTGGCCCAAACGCTTATTAACAGCCCTCCTTCACTTTTACACAATAAAACCCTCATTTCTGTCCGAGGCGTCAGTAGAAGCTGGATATATTCATCGGATCTTTATCTGTGCAGCGCGCTACCTACTCTACATGCGCCACATCCCGGGCCATACCAGTCGAAATGCCACATGCATTTTATCCCAAACTCCGACAACGCCGTGCCCAGCAAACAGAATATGCCTAAAGACCTTGCCGTATCCTCTCAGCCAGCTGGCGCTTACCAAACTCCCATGCGTTCAAGAAACCTTGTTCCGAGAGGTCGATGTTCTTCATCGAGGTCATGTCTTGCGCCGGGGGCTTGCTGACACGCGAGGCAACAATGACGGGGTCGGTTTCGAGGATGATGCCGTCGTCTACGAGCTCGTCTACGGCGAGGGACTATGAGGGTTAGTTGGAGCAAGATATGGAAGTCGTGACTACTGTTACGCACCACGAGGTCATAGTTCTCGATAACGGTGCGCTTGTCGACCGAGTTCCTGCGACGTGTTAGATGAGTCGATAAGGCAGTCCAAGGTAGACATACTTTAGGAGGATGTTGAGTGAGTCTCTTAACGCAAGGACGACACTGGACATGTGTTAGCTTCAGCCCAGTACTCCGCCGTGCCATGACCGTACCTGTATAGCAAGACTTCGTTCTCGTCGGCGCTTCCCACCACATAAAGCATGACGTCCGACTCCATCTTGAAGACAATGACCTTGCCGTCATATAATATAATATCCGTCGTCTGCTTGGCCGTCTTCTCTGTGC